GGATGAGAATCAGTTTGCTTTGAGAACTTTTGGAAGTGTTTCGATCTTTTTGAATTCAACTAGTGGAAAGGTGAATTTGTAGATTTTTAGCAGCTGGAATTGTTTCAACAAACCTTTATTTGAAGAACTTGAGGTTTGTTAACTGGAAACCTAGAATCGAGTTTACCAGTTGAGACATCGGCTCAAGGGAGTGGTGTCAGAAGTTCATTTAGTGAACAAGAGCTGCTCTGTCACTTAACTTGATATAAGACAGACCGACAGAGGGAACATTGTTCTCTTCTTTCCCTGTTCTTTCTTTGTCTTGTTTGTTTGTTTGTTGTGTTTGTGTTTCCCTGTGACTGATCGTGTTGCGTCTGGAGCGAAAAGAAGGAGTCCGACGTCAGCATGTGGGAGTCGAGGGTGAAACAGTTTTCTTGACGCGACAGTGCTTTAGTTTAATTAGGTTTGTGACTACACGCGCTGCGCTTGTTTGGTGTGCGTGGTTGACGTACGCGTCTGCCTGCGTAGTTCTGTAGGAATTTTGATGAAGCGTTAGATCTGATTACAGATCTGTGCACGGCGCTTTTTCACATGGTAGCAGAGCTCTACGGAGCTACCCACACCATTCTCCGCTGACCCTTGTTGCAGTGTACTAAGGACACCATCTAAGGTGAAGCTGAGATCGTTTGTATTGAGCTCCGAGGTTTTCGCGAGATCTGTGTTGAGCTTGTACTAAGGTTCTGAAGTGATCACTAGGTTGGTACATTGTTGATGTAAAGCCAAGGGCATCGAAGAGCTTGAGTATTCTTGATTCAGGTGACGTGTTTTTGTTTCACTTCTTTCTGGCATGCTGGCTGTAAGGTCATTTGATGAAGGTGACTTGTCAATTGATTGCCTGAAACGATATGTTTTTGAAATGCTTGAGGATATCTCGACAGGCTGAGGTTGGGAGTGAGTCCTGGAGACACAAGTAGGTGTTTGGACAAGTGAGAACTCCGACAACTTGTCTGGAGATAAGCAAAGAGAAGTAGGTAAGTGACTTGATTGACAGGCTGAGGTTGGGAGTAGGTCCTGGAGACACAAGCGAGGTGTTTGGACAATGAGGACTCCGACAACTTGCCTGGAAATGCTTGAGTGTGTAGAATTCTTGTAGAAATTGACTTGCTTGGGAAATTTGAAACCACCGTACCCTGTCTGGAACCGAGAAATTTGGGTATCAAGGAATTTCGCAATAGTTTTGCCTGAGATGAATGCCAGAGATAGATCCAGAGATCGGAGAAGAGATAATGCCGTGTATGAGGCAGAGAATGAACAACTCATTGGCCGACTTATCGAGATAGAGAAGTTGCAAGGTGTCATAAGGTTGCTACAGACGCAGATCATACTCCTGGAATGGCTGGTACCGCTATTGGAAGATGTGCGAATTAGCCGAAGCAACTTGGATATCATCATGATGTTGAAGGACAATCTCATGGGTTTGGAAATGGAGTTGCAGCATCGATCCTGTGAAGTGCGAGGACAAATACTTGCACGGTACCACAGAGCATTGGATGGATGAAATATCTCTGTACTCAACATTGTATGAGGCATTTTTTGGCAGTCATGGGCATAGGCGATGGAGTTCCTGATAAGAGTGGTGAGCGTGAGTAAAATAAGTGTCAACGGCTGGGCTGCATGTGATATTGTGTTGCGGTTGCGTTGCACGTGAGATTTGTTTTTGTGAAAAGTTTGGTGACTTTGGCAAAGAGAGCCTGGAGAGTCACTAGAAAAGCTTGGTGATTTTGGCAAAGAGAGCCTGGAGAATCACTAGAAAGCATTGAAAGGAAAACAGAAAAGTACCATAAGAAATGGTGTACATCTCGACAGGTTGGTCAGGTTGTAGTTGATCCTGGACGCACGGAGTGCACAGTGCGTGGTGCTACTGAGCCTGGCGTCATGCCTGGAGGTGGTAGTAAGAAAGAGAAACTGTGGCATGGGAACCTGGAGGGTCAGATTTTGCTTTGTCAATGACCTTGGTTCATGAGAGAATTGGATTGCCGCATGTGTGAGATGAGAAATTTGTGTAGTCTGGAAATAAGACGTGAGTAGTTGAACACCTGAGGTTCGGTAGTGTGCAGGAACAGTGGGGCTTGACGGACGTTTGCACTGGTGACCTTGAAACTGAAGCCTGAAGCAGTTTGGTGTTTGCCTGGCAGTTAGGCACTGGAGTGCTGAGAGAGAGAGAGAGAGAGAGAAGAAAGTAGGAACCGTCATGGCACTGAAGGCACGATGGAACTTGGTGTTGAGATTGTTGGTTGAAAACGGACTGTGAGTAAGAATGGACAGAGTAGACTGTGTTTGCCTGTTTGGGAACGTTGGTTTTGATTCTCAGATGCATCAGGTAGCATTCGTGGTTTTGAGTTGCAGTTGTGGATGCGTTTGAATGGAGCATGTATTGACTCATTGGAGACGGCCTGTACTGTGTAGGAAGTGGAAACTGTTTTATGAGACTTGAAACGAAACAGGAAACTTTTATTGTGAGTCTGTTTTCATGTTTTTGTCTGGAACTTGCACAGTTGCTTAGGGTCGCAGGCAGGTCAGGTATGACTTTCGTTGCTTGGACGGTTGCAGTTTGTTTTTGTGAAACCTGGAACGGATGTAGTCGTGAAGACTGGGGCAGATGCAGAGAAGGTACATTGAACCCTGAGACAGGTAGGTACTCTGAAGTTGTTGTCATACTGACTGAACTTTGTGTGAAGATAACTTGGATGCAAGTATTCCCCTTTTGGCTTAGAGCAATCGTACCGTACTGTATCTCTCGAGATGGATGGTTGAGTATGGAGACATCTGCAAGCCAATCTTGACTGTGAAATGGGCTCTATGGTCTTTGGAGTGATGATTGCCAGTGGGATTGTGCCTACATTTTTGGAGGGGCATTTTCTTTGGTAGAGATGAATTTTTCGAACAAGATTGATTTGGTGTTGTTGACCCTAGAGGGTTTCCTTTGCGAACCTTGGGTCATGTTGGTTGGACATCTTGTACTACCAGAAGGCTGGCATGGAGTTCGACAAGATTTGCAGCATTGGAAATTTGCAGAATATCCTGAGAGATGGGTAGAGCGGTAGTGTAGTTTTTGCGTTGGCGTGTGGCTCAGAGTGAAAAGCAAAAGAGGGAATCTGGGATTTGAGATTTGCAATTTAATTGAACTTGAGCATGGTGGACGAAGTCATTGGAAAGTTGGCACGAATCGTCATTGCCATGGAAAGGAATTGAATTGAAATAGTTTTGACTTACAACGAAAGAAAGAAATGGGCTGGATGGCAAAGGCGTTGCATAGGTCCATAAGGAGCTGGATGGCAGAGGCGCTGCATAGGTTCCAAAACAGAAAGAAAGGTTGTATGAAGTCAAAACGTGGACCAGATTGCAAGACGTTGCAAGGTTCACACATGAGCTGGGTTGCAGACGTGCATAGGCTCAGGTAATAGATTAAGTAAGATTGAATGAAATGGGGCTGGATGGCAGAGGCGCTGCATAGGTTCCAAAAACGTGAGACTGACTGGAAATAATGTGAATGTGATGTCAGTTTGTTGCTCGACATACTGTCTAAGTGAGAGACGAAGTATGGAGCTGTGTGTTTTTTGTTGAACTTGACTTGACGGCGTGTTTGGACGTCTCATATTTTTGTACATGTTTCATCCCATTTTTTCCTGCATTCTTTATGAGACAACTCTTGGCTCAGTGTTTTGGATACCAAATTGCCCTGAAGATCGCTTCAAGATCCTGTGACATCAACGGCAATGGAGTCTATTTGTTTTTGGTTGGTCTTGGCTCCTAAGCAATTCGAGGACTTGAACAATGGCAAGGAAATCCAGCCTGACGAATATTCCAAACGTTTCGGGCTACGAAAAGACCCGATTGCTGCCGTTGAACGTGCACAGTACTTCAATGACTGGACGCCAGAAGGTCCTAAAGGTGAGTTCTGTGCCAAGGACTATGTACTGGTTGAGGTTGAGCTGACTGCCATCGGCTATCTCCAGAAGGCCGAGGCAGGCATCCTTCTGAAATATAAACCCAACGAATATCGCTGGCAAGGAACCATGAAGGCTCTGGAATTCGACGAGAACGGCAACCTCTTGTACAAGTTTGGATCGGAAGCCATGAAAATTGTTTGAAGGGGCATGTATCATAGATTGCCATATTTGAGATTTTTGATCCATTTGCGAGCTGGGTTGTAACACTAAGCTCTGGCAAAGACGACCATCAGTTGCAGAAAAGGCACAAAATTCTGTGCAGAGAGCTGTCGAGCTGAGACTGGAATGGATTTGTAGTTTTGAGATGTCTTGGAAGTTTCTGTTGGCACGCTCATTGTCAATTTTGGAAACATCAGAGTTTTGGACGATTTCGGACTGGACAGAATTTGGACTTGTGAGACCGAGTTTGAACAGTTTTTGATGTCAGCTGTCATGAGTTTTGCACTGTTTTCGTTTTTTTCTGCATGACATGTCTATGGGTTTTATGCACAGAAACCACTGTGATCTGTTTTGCACTCATGTGAAGAGTTGTGCATGCATTGACAGTTGGGTGTGAGTGAGTTTTGCATGTTGCCATCGGTCTGCACTATCTCATTTTTGTCTGAGACATCGAAGTGTAAATGACCACACATTACCTGTCAAGATGTGCGGCACGCATCTCGGGGTAATAGTGAGTGTGATCTTGATCGGAAGTGTGAATCATCTATTAAGGTGTGAGGCACGCGCCTTAGGATGAATGAGAGAGAGAGATGGATTCTTGTTTTTCTGTGATGGGCTGAGTTGCGGCGTAGCATGCCCAAGCTGTATCTTGGCCCGGGTCTCTCACAACGGGTACACCAAGCTCTCACTCGACGTCTTGAGAGTTTTATGGCGAATGCGTCAGTGCCAAGTGAGGTGCCTCCCACCGAGAACCTGCCACTTCCTGGACAGGGAACGACTTTGGAGTCAGGTTCCGAACATGGGGATCCAGACTTACAAGGACACCAAGAAGAACATAGCAAGTCGCCTGTGATGGAACGAGAAGGTGTAGAACAAGATCGATCCCGTTCACCCAGGCACAAACTGAATGTGCCGGAGCCTAGTCCGGACAATCCGGCAAAGGTCTTGGCAGCGTGCACAACGCTCGCTGTGGGTGTTACCTCAATGATTGGAGCTTTCAAAAACAGCAGCGAGAAACTGGAGCTGTTAATCAACAACACCAATACAATGCAACAGGATCTAGTCCGCAGTATGGAGGCTATCGCCACCTCTGTGACGAACATGAGCCGAGCAGTGGAGTCGCTGACGGCCGGAGTCAGTTATAACACAGGAAGGGTCGGAGCTGTTTGTGGCGAGTATCAAAAGCTGCGTAAACAGCTGGAATGGTCCTTGGACCGCAGCCTCAGTGATATCATGAAAGAAAATGCGAAGAAGAAGGCTGAGAGTGGAAAAGAGATGAAAGATCTTATGGATCAGCTGTTTGAATCCATGGACCGCCTGCAGGAGAATATCAAAGGCTCATCGAATGGAGTCTTTGAAGATTCCAACAGTGCAAGAGAAAGAGTCAGAGTTCGGACCGGCGTTGCCGCCGACGGGACATGTGACCCCTATGACTCCTGCGACCATGCCATCAGGAATTATGCCACCACCTACGGCACCACCTATGGCACCGCCCATGGCACCGCCGCAACCGGCACTACCGGTTGCCACATTCGCAGGCTACAGCCCTGCCAAGGTAGGGGAGCTTCCAATGACGTGCCCTGCGAACCTTGATGTGAAGTATATCAAAAGTCCAGCATTCCAAGTCGTAGACGAGAGCACGGGCAATGTGCGGTGCGTCTCGCCAACAAGGCGACACAATCCGGCCACTGGAACCGCCGCGTTCGCGCCATTAGGATACGTAGTGCTCAAGAATACCAATGATTATAGACGAGTGTATCCATAGAAATGGTGCTTTGCCAGGTAATTTGGAGGCATCCAGAGTTACTTCTTGCAAGAGGGAGAGAATGGTCGGTTATCTTTTCTCTTTGGAGCGTTTTGACCGGCTCGAGGTTCACTCGCTTCTCAGCAGGATGTCATGCGGTGAGCATCTGTGCACATAGTGCAATCTGAGTTCAGAGTTCAAGCGCGAGTTTAAAAGGGGGCTATGCCGAGTAGAACAACTTGGGGCTGAACTGTCTTGGAACGGAGAATTCTGAGATCAGTTTTGAGTTTGCGTTGTGTCTCGAGTGAAAGTTGATGCTGGATAGCACTGTTTGCACGTTGTTTGTTGTTTGAGGTTAGTTTTTTTTCATATGTCTCTCAGTGACGATGGCGAGGGCAACGTTCTTGAAGGCATTCAGAACTTGAGTTGCTAATAGATCTGAGGGAGACATTATGAAGAAAGGTTGAAGTTGTCTTTGATTAGCTTCGTTGAACGCCCACCCGCAGACCACCCAGTTCAAGCATCACCTTGGAGGAGATCTTCATTCAACGCTTCAGCTTGAGACTTTCGCCGGGCCTAACCCGGGCCGACCGGCAAGTGCATTCATCCAGTGCATTCATCCCCCGTGTGAAAACAAGTGAGCTTTCTGCAGCATGCCTTCTTGTCAATTGACATAGACAAACCAAATCAATCAACAATTAATTGTTCCCGTCCATTTGTGGGATCTGTTTTTTTCCTTTTCGCGCGAAAGTGCGAACTTGCAAACGAACCTTTGGTAATCCTTTGGTTGTGAGACAGCGGACATTTTGAATTTCAGGTGGTGTAACTGGTTGAGCACGATATCAAGGGGACATAAATTTTTGGTGAACAAAAAAAAATTCTTTGAACCATGGTAATACCAACAAAAAGGTACTTTGAATTTAAATGCAAAATTGGATTCTGATCAAAAAATATGTTTGTGCCGTGCAGACTACACTGATTACACGCACCATTACACGCACATTTTCGTTCCAAAATGTGGTGGGTCATTGAGATTGAAACTTGACGTTCGTTCAGATCACAGCAAAAAACTGCTTGCCATCCACCTTTCGCCTTCTGTCTTTCTTTTTTCGGCTCTGGGATGGCATAATCAGTTGCCAATCGAATCAGGCCGGTTCAGCATGTGCTGTTCTTTGCTTGTTTCTTTGGACGAATTTTGAATTCCAAAACAACAGTGGTCGAATTCTTGCTTCTTGCAGGTTGGCAAAGCCCACGACAAAGCCTGCCTGGACTTGCAAAGGCGTCAGACACTTTGGGTGTATATACTATCGTTCCAAGTTCATCCAAATTCCACATAAATCCTCTGGGACCCCATCGATTTTTGTTTTGATCCTTCAACCATGTGCCAAACACTAAAACAAGTCGCAGAAAAAAATGGAAGGAAAAATGCCACTTAAACAGAGTTCTTGCAAACTGCATGGCATTTGTTGGGTCGATCCGACGTCAACATCTAGAGGGAACATATATGTTTGCTGCTGATTTGGGGTAGATATGAGTAGATATAAATTTTATATATTAAATTATATATATGATATCAATATCATATCAGCAGCAAAATCAATCTCCAATTGAAATGTGTTGTAATTTGGATACAAACCATCCGTGTTCCCATCCGTGAAATTTGGATTCTCCCCTACCAGTTGGGCCCCATCAGCTATCCAGTAAAGTCACGTAGATATAGAAAGTCCAGCATTTGTGTATGGATCATTTTCTTGGGTTTCTATTTTTTTCATGTTTGTGTTAGTTTACGTCATATACCCTCTGGTTATGACTAACATAGCCATGGTATAGATGGCCCATTTATAGATGGTTTACATGTATAATCACAGAGTATATACATATAACTACATCATGTATATACAATTGAAATCCTATGCAGAACCAAGGCCGGCTTTTGAAGATAGGGCACAGCTGTTGCAGCGTGACAGCGTTGTGGTCCATGCGGGTAGCAACTTAGGAAATCGTGTTTCATCTTCCGCCAGGACAGCAATCAAAGCGAATACTGAGGATGATGCAACTAGTCCAATTTGTATTTTGTACATATTTGTCTCAGAACAGAGTAGCCCAGTAGCCCCAAAACCAAGCCAACTCTCCAATGGATTTGGCCCAAAGGATCCAGGGGCCCATGGGGCACCCTGGAAACTCTTCCAGGCGGCGGGCAATGAGTGAGGAGATTGACAGGCATGTCCTCAGGAAGTGCCCAGAGAAACTCGACCCGACCGACCTGGCAGCTTTCGTTCTTTTGTCAAAATTTGTGCTGAGGGAATGATAAAAACTGTTCCCAAAATAAGTAATATATATATAATAGTTCAAGACCTCCCCATTTTTTGATCACAGGAAAAGGTGTGACATGATAGGATGATAGTCTTATGCCTGGAAGTCCTAGATTTCAAATGGAGTATCGTATCAGTACCATATCTAGCTCTAAGTTCAGTTCTCAGTCTTGGCTGACTGAAATGCAGATGCTGGAATTGGATCTGGGAACCACTTGGGTGGATGTGGATGCAGATGTGGTTGCTTCCCGTTGGTTCCCGTTGAAAGCAGGTACGAGATTGTGCAGAAGTTAGGCCGGGGCGCCTACGGCATCGTTTGGAAGGCCATTGACAAAAAGACACGAGAGGCGGGCGGACCGGGCGGATGGTGACCTCTGGATGTTGGGATCTGGTGGATTTCCAGAGGACCAGAGGACAGCATCGGCTCTCAGCGCAGGTCGTTGCGTTGAAGAAGTGCTTTGACGCTTTTCAGAACGCCACTGATGCCCAGAGAACCTTCCGAGAAATCATGTTCTTACAGGAGCGGCTTCACTGGCTTCACTGGTTGGCTCTTTGCAACACTAGATGTAGCAGCTGTAGCATCCGGTAATTTCAGCAATTTGCCACGGACAATTTGCCAGGAGAGTAGATGACTTCTTTTGCGTTTTGATTTTCATGGCCATTGTCCATGGCAAACTGCAAACGATTAACGATAGGGTATGCCCATTTTTGGTTAAAGTCTATCTAAGATCAAGCATTTGGAGCATGGGTTGGACGTCCAAGTTGGCGATATCCAAAATTGTTGGTCAATATCCTCATTAAAGAGCTACGCAAACATCAAAACCCATCAAAACCCCATGTTTCTTGCTGGTCAAATCCATTTTTGTTCTGGTAAAATTTATCCCCGGTGTTTCCGACAGAACATCCTGATTTCTTTGCTGAGCAAAGCTCCATTTTTTGCTAATATTTCCAATTGGTTTGATGATTTTCCCAGCAAAGCTTCGTTTGCTTCGGCATTTCTCAGCCATGGTTGATGACACCGGGTATCAATCAATTTCATGGATATTCAACTTTCATATTACACATTCATATTCCTGCATTATATATATATACATACACCCATTGTACCATTCTTTTTGTTGATTAAATCCTAGCCTTTGGTAATTTAACAAAGCTATTGAACATTGCCATTTAGTTCGTGGATTTACCATGTTCGTTGCTTCTCCGTTCCAAGCACGCCGTCCTCGGTAGGAGCTGAATGGACACGAGAACATCGTGCGGCTCTTGAACGTGCTGAAGGCAGACAACGACCAGGCGCTGGGGTGGGGTGACCTTAAAGGTGGCTGATTTAATGCCCCAACTTATGCAATTTTTCATCAAAGAAATGAGGTTTTTATGCCATTTTAATCCATTGGAATTGGGTCCTCAATTTTTTGGGACCCCTGGAGATCGAAGGAGAATTCAGGGTCTTCACTGACAGCTGTGACAGCTGTGACAGCTGTGACACCTGTGACTAACTTAGTGGTGCTCCTCACGATTGCAGGACATCTACTTGATCTGTGACTACATGGAATCAGATTTGCACGCGGTGATCCGTGCCAACATCTTGGAAGAGATTCACAAGCAGCTGGCTCCTCAGACAAGCCAACTCTAGATTGACTGACCATTGCAAAGATTGAATCATTATTTTTTTTGGACTTCCCCCCAGTTTGATCTATACCATTTGCCAGGAAATGTTCTACACTTTGGATCTTGAAGCGAAGCTTTCACCAATCGTTTACATTTGCAGATTTGCACGAAGGGATTTGGAACTGCTGGGGTCCAGATGAACAGGGTCATCCACTGGTCCAAGTGTTCTTTTTCAGTGAGCCCAGTGAGGGGTACTCCCAAGGTATCATTATTTTTGTCCAGCAGATGATGCTGAGGTATATCATCTACCAGCTGTTGAAGTCTTTGAAGTTTATGCACTCAGGGCAGGCGCCAGCGGATGCGCCAGCTGTGGATGCTGGCGAGTTGGCTGCACTTTGTGTTTGATCTCAACTAGTGTGGCAAAGCCAATTTAGAGATACACATAAAACATATCTATATACATACATGTTTATACACACGTTTAACACACGTGTGTATATATATATATATATTTGTACACATACATGTGTATATATAAATGTGTACGTATATTTACAAGAGATGGACGCCCACAAGACATCAAAGTCAGGAGGTTTATGGGCTCACCAGATATTCGCATCTCATGACATGGTTTAAAGGTACAGTCAGTATCACAGTTTGGAGTGGACCTTCATTCTTCTGATAGCTTCCAGCCGGGCAGTGAGTCAGCACTCCCACAATAGGGAGAACCTGTTTTTGTCAGAGAAGGCTTCCGGAGATCCGGAGGTGTATTGAAGTAACGGTGAATGTTTTCAAAAGGGGCTTAACAGTTGTCCCAACTTCTGCAGGCTTAACAGTTGTGAAAAGATGGTGACATTTCGATTTCTCACCCTGGCCTCGGCCATTTCGCTCAAGCCACACAGCTCGGGGTCGCCACGGCCTGGTTCACCGGTGACCCTGAAAAAGGAACAGATGGGAAACTCAGAGAGTCTGGAGCCCCAGGAATTGATGGGACATTCTTGGGAAACTCTTGTTTTTTTGGGACCTTCTTTAGTTCGGCCCTGGAATTGAAGATTTTTTTGCAACTTTTTTTGGAGGGTTTACATATGTTTTTTCAGTTTTAATCTTAATTTTTTAAATCTGTTGCATCCGGTCCGGTAGAGCCTTGCGCCTGGCCCTCCCCCAAGGGTGAGGTGGGGGATTTATGCCCAATTTATACCAATTTGAATGCGGATAAGATGTTCTAAGGCATTGGAATCAGGTTTTCCCCCTATTTTTTTCCTTCAGATCCAGCCGAAGGTGCAACCTTCAGAGGTGATGGCAGTTGTAGGTCCTTTGGCGACAGGTTACCCGTTAGTAACGCCAGAACTCAGCTGGTACTCAGATGGAACTCAAAAACGAGGTTTGAGCCGAGAAGAGATCCACTTCATTGCCAACTTCAGCCAGAAGGTGTGAATTTCTTTATGTTTTTTGGGGAGCTGGCTGGTGCTCCAAATCATCAGCAAGGAGATTCAACAGCAAGGGTGACTGAAACCAACATAGACAGGGAATCTAAAATCAGAACTTAGTGTCTTGGCTATCTTTTGCATCACCAGAGCTTTGGATTTCGATAGGTTCAGTTCTACCGATTTGTCACCATAATGATAGAACGTGACACTCATATTACTGGACCCCTATCCACCCATTTTCATTTGACTCACGGCTGTGCAATCCAAAAAAGAAACCCTTGAACTACCAGTTCTGTCCCAGAATCGGATGAATGGTAAATTTGCTGGAAACCTACATAATATGTATATAATATGTATATAATATATATATATGTATATAAATATATATATATAAATATATATATATATACACATATATATATATATATAATGTATAAACATAGTATATACACATATTCACTCGCATGTCGCCAGAGTTTCTTGCACGCTTTTTCCTCAAACCAAACGATACACTTGGGACTTTCGGGTTTTTCGATGGTTGTGCTGTGAAAGCACCAGGATGTCACGCGCCTATATCATCGGTTTCGAAAACTGGACGAGGCACACTGGTGTTTTTTGGGCGGCGGTGCCAGATCCTTCAACCTCCAATCACCCATTTTTGTATAAACCATTCCCGGTCATTGTAGGTTTACTGCATTGGGTTTACACACAATTTGCATGTTTGTACCTGGCGTCAGATGAGAGCTTTCATTCTTTTCAGAATTTACCAGGATTGGTAGAGGGAAGTAGATTCAAAAGGGTCATTTTGTCATTTTATCCAAGATTGGGAAAAGATTTGTCTTGGAGATAGGAACCAGCTTTGCTGCGTTTACTTGGTCCAAGGTTGTTTTTGTTTTCATCGGAGATCAAATAACCACTACCGTTTGCCTGCTTTTGGGGTGCCTGTTCTGAGTGTGAACATCCACTTGCAGTCACCAGAACCAGCACTGGCGCGTATTTGACCTCCTCCGGCGAGTAATGTGATAGTAAACCTAACAAATAAATACAAATAAAATCAAGAAATACCAAGAAATACCATCCGCAATTTCATGAGAAAAGGGCTTACTGTTACTGAACACAGGGAATGGATGGGAATGGGTATTGATTTTCTTATGAATAGTTATGGATAATTCCCTCATTCCTTACGTGTAGCGCCCGCTGGTAGCGATGGTAGGATGGAGACGGACAGCTCGATCCCAACGAGATCTTAGGAGTACGGATGCCCAGTGACGTCTGCGACGGATGGGGTGGGGTCAATGGGTGGACTCCCAGGGCCCCGAGATTGCGTCAAACATGGCCATGAACATTTCCGTGTGAGCCGAGGTAGCAGAATTGGCGGAGAATCCGTTAGTTCAAAGAGTCATATCAGTATTTGACAAGGCGCGGCTGAGTCAGGAATCGATCTCAGAGCCAGATTTCATGGCCTTTACACACCGTAACACCAAGCACTGGGCACCATAAATGGATAAATTGACACTTGCTCCCAGGATTGCCCCATCCCCAGGAGCCTTCCCCATCCATCCCAGCTACGTCCGTTGCTTCCCGGGTGACCAACGGCCGGTTCCAGGACGGCAATGGCACGGTCTCTTTCATCGAATTTCTACTGGGCCTCGCGAAGCTGGCGGGCAGCACCTCTGAGGAGTGGAACTGGGGAAGTGGGGGGAAATGCTTGGCAAATAAGTATGCGGTAGGGTTAATAAGTAATATGTATATATATATATATATGTATAGATATTGATATATTATGATATTGGTACATTATTATATATATGATTATATATATATATTATTATACATATATATATATATATACATATTATATTATTATATATGTTACTATATTGTTATATATATATATGTATATTATTATTATATATATATATATATATTATTATATATATATATATTACTATATATATATATTGATGTATATATATATATATTGATACATATATATTGGTATATATATATTGGTATATTGATACATATATATTGATACATGTATATTGGTATATATATATATTGGTATACATATTGGTATATATATATATAGAATGATACATATATATTGGTATATATATATATATTGATATATATTGATATATATATATAGGTATATATACATATTGATATATATATATATTGATATACAGTATATATATATATATACACATATCACCCATCTATTCCCACTATTATATAGTAAAGCCGATATTTGCCCGTTATTTTTGGGCAATACTAAAGTCGATTAGGTGGTTTGCACGACCCAATAACGGTGCAACCACCCCAATTCACCCCGATTATGCTGTTTGCCGCTGATCCGAGTAGGCTGCCTATTTTTCATCCAATTTGAGCCTTTTTGACCCTTCACGGATGCGAACTCCAAACTGATTTCATCAACTTTGACCCTTCATGGATCTAATGTGAAGCTCATTTCATCAAATATAACCCCTCATGGAGCTTACTATGCAGCTAATTTCAAGAAAATTGACCCTTCATCGGTGCTCATATGCACCTAATTCCAGCAACGTTGATTCAATGAGTGGAGGTTCAACTCGAGGTAGTTCAGAAGATGCTTCCACCATTAGGCCCATCTTGCACAGGAACACAAGCTGCGCTTTGCCTTCGCCATCTATGATGTGAATAAGGCAATGTGTTTTTTCGCTGGAACAGATGTGCCATGGTGAAAACATGAATTCCGATAAATGGGTATGGTCATCCCCCCCAATTTTTCTTTAAACCCAAAAAACTTGAACTTGAAGGCATTCCAGCTTTGCGCCGGTTTGCGATTGAAAATCACCCTTTTTAATAGGTAAATCATTGAAGCAAATGGGCCATGGCTTCCATAGCACACTGTTAATTGCTGGAGGGTAACTGAAGCAGACACTGTCACCTTCAGTCAGGTCAAGTTTTCGAACTTGTAATGTTAGTGAAGCAATGCCATAAACCACCCATATGGATTGATGCTAAAAAACCTATGGAAATGGTATGGGGATGGTGGATTATGGTTGATCTCCTGCTCCCAGCTTTTTTTCAACAACGATTTTTTTTTTCACTAGACCTCTTTCCGAGAAGTCCCATGTTCCAACCATCCAGAATTTGTTTTTGGAACTCCGAGGATTGGACAGCCTCTTTAGTGACCCCCAAAGGTATAAAGTGTGTGTGGGATGATTCATGTTGAAAATGACCACCAGCCCAGAGACTCTGTGGCTTTCTATGGGACAAAAATTGGACCAAATTTCAACAGGACGGATACATCTCCAACGGCGACCTCTTTGCTGTCTCTCGGTCATGGAGGTTTTGGTTCCATGAAGCGACAAGGGGGGCCACTCAACAAAGGATAGACTGATAGGCTGACAGACCATGGAAAATCATGGAAACTCGGTTGATGGCCATATAGCTGCCATAGCTGACCTTTTTCGGCACCACCTTTGAAGTGTAAGTTTCGAAGGATTTGCGCCATTTCGGCTGGCCTTGAGGTCATGAAAATGATGGTAGGAGACAACTTGGGAGAGACACAACTACAACAGCTGGTGGACCGGCAACTGGCTGGGCAGCCCAGGGGAGAGGGAGGACAGGGAAAGGGTTGGCAGGTTGGCAGCTGACAATGTTGTTCCTGACTTTCTATTTGCTGATTATGGAACCCGATTGACAATTATTTTTTCCGGCTGCCTGGTAGTCCAACTACCAAATCTGATATCTTACAGCTTCAGATGTCTCATATGCGATGACAAGAAACAAGAGATTGCTTTCCCATATTTTTGAGATGGTCATACCCCAACAGTTCGAATCTTTCAAATAGTATTTGTTTGGTACAATCCCAGCAAAGTTTTTTTTAAAAGGAAACTATAAGTTGTCTTGTAGCCAATTTGGTACGCGATCAGGAATTCTTGGTCATATTTGTATCCCATGAAATCCCATGAATTTTGATATCGATCTCCATTTTCACATCCTGTAAATGTATGTGTGTGTATATATACATATATATATGTATTGTATATATCCAACATTTTGTAGGGAATTCCTTCGACAAAGCCATTGGACAGCGAGGTCTCTTCAGACCAGGATGGTGATGGAAAGCTTTCATTCGAAGAGTTCAAGGCCGTGGATTGTTCTCAAAATCGCTCAGATTTTTTGAGGAAGAAGATGGAAAATCACCGTGAAGCCAGTGAATGAGATATGTGGAAACATATATATATAATATAATATATAATATATATATATATAATATAATATATATATATAATATATAATATATATAATATATATAATATATATATAATATATATAATATATATAATATATATAATATATATAATATATAATATATATAATATATATAATATATATATATAATCACTGAAGCTGAGAAGATGTTTATTTTTTAAATGCGAATGTTCTGTACTTCGTATCTCACCAGGCAGCAGTGCAGAGCATCGGCCGGGACCTCGGTGGTACTGGGTACCCTTCAACTCACAGCCATATGCTTTAAGGTTTGATAAGGTTTGATAAGGTTTAAGAGAATCAAAATGACTAGCCGACTAGCCTTTGATTTCTGGTGTTTTTCTCAAATGTCAGGTGTTGCCGAGCAGCTTTCAATCGATCTGAGTTCCTACTCCTCGTAAAGAGAGGAAATTTGTAGCTCTGCCGGTGGCATCGCCGTTGAACGGAGGACGGCGGTGCCACGGCTCAAAAGATCTCAAAAGTGTTCATTAGACTGTGGGGCATCCCGAAGACCTGGAGGCGGGGGTTCGCCCTAACCACCTGCTAGTAGACCCCTAATGGCCTGATTTCAGCCATTTTCAGTTAGATTTGTGTCAAAAGACCACTTATGAATACTTGTGAGTCGATGCGCTGCAAACGGTTTCCGTTTCACCTGGCCCCTGGCTGCGGACGGAGACCCTGTGGGTACTCCGTGGCGGCTGGCCGAAAGGAGCCAAACTGAGCGCCTCAAAGTCAGGATTTCCAAGTTGAACCAGGCTGTTGTCGACAAAGCTATCACGAACAGATTGTGTAGATCCATAGGCAAACATCCATGTAGTATCGGAATGGTGGCGTGGCAATCAAAAACCCACCCGTGTTACAGATGATGGATTTGGATCATTTTGGGCATGGCTAGGCATGCCGAATATGCGCATACTTCCGATGAAAATCGAATCGGTCTGGGACCCCTTGGGCCCTTAGGCCCTTGGGCTGATCACTGGGCGCTTTTCCAACCTTCCCCCATATGTTTAGACCTACCCACGATTTTCGGACATCGAATTTGGATGCTCAGGGCTCCTTAAGACGATGGGTGCAGCAGTGCAGCCCATCTCACCGAAGAGGTTGGCTTACTGTCCCGTACAAAAAGGGCATGTCATGTCCTTTTTTGGCCATGGATCAGAAGAAAACCTCTTAACTCAATGATATAATCATCCACTGTCTTGCAGACTCATCCATGATCTTCCTACATGACGCCAATGTGGTTTGCTGTTTTCGGGCCGGGTGTCCAAAAACCTGGGACATACAGCAACCCGAACAACTGTTGGAATCGAAAACGCCACGGCGCTTCAGCAACGGAAAAAGAACTGCGAGCTGCGAACTGCTATGAGGCGATTGCAGGATCACACCATGGAACAATGGTCCATAAGATCCATAAGAATCAAACGTTTGTTAGAGTTAAGATGTGTTAAGGGTTTTCATTCCACAAGATTTCTGATGTTTCGGAAATTTTACGTGACCGCTAACTTGGGACTTGCTGTTCGACGATTCCCAGTGGGACCTGGCTGCTATCGCGGCTACTCGTTGTGTTGCTACCTCTCCATTCCATTCCTGAGGCGTATCACAAAGACGCGCCGCTAGACACAGGGTCAGTAATTGATCATGACATGGCTTATACTATGTGGGTATGGGTCAATACCTATTATTACCATATTTGGGGGAATAACCATCTATTCACCAGCTATTTTAGAATACCTAGGGTACCAGGGTTTTGACCCATACACATGTTACTACCTAGTCTTATATACATAGGGATTACTATAATTTGCCACGTCACCGTGGCAGACGTACTGGCCGCCAGATGCTCCACCGGGACATCAAGCCATCCAACATTCTGCTGAATTCAGACTGCCAAGTCAAGGCCAGAGAGGGTGCCACGATGTGCCACGGATCTTGAGGAAGTCTCTGAGTGTTGAAGGATCTCTCCTACCTAGTCCTATCCTAAATTCAAATATATGAAATCGCCCTAAACGAAATCCTGGTTTCTGAAATTTGTTCATTGGGGTTTGAAGGGATGGGATTCAGTGCCTCACTATCTCGAATGATGCATCCCCGATGTCATGGCAGGTGTGTGATTTTGGGCTGGCCAGAAGTGTTGTGCAGCAACAGGACAATGCATCTCGGATTCCGATGGGTATCCGATGCATTGAAGTCGTAAGATGTGGATCCCCCAGTTGAAGATAGGTTTAAGTTGGTTAGAACTACAATGACTGTTGGATTTATAGTACAGATTGATGTGCAGTAGGATGGTTGTTCAAAAAGTCGACCAAGAACTGCTAACTTTGTAAGATGTTCTTTTTGCACACTGCCTCCACCGCAGTCCCTTTTTTTCCATTTTGTGCCAAGAAAACATGAAGAAACAGCTGTGCACCAAGGCTACAAATCCAGTGCTCACTGACTACGTTGCCACCCGATGGCACCTGGGGGAGCCGGGCACGAGCCGGGAGACAGGGCAGCTTTTTCAGATATCATCAGCTTTTCATGGCTGTCGGCAGTTGATGAACTTTCTGCTTGTGAAATATGAACACATCCAGAATAAAAAATCTGGAGGCACATCTGGGGCGCAGTCGGCAAGAATTCATGCTGATTCGGAGCAGGGTTCGTTCCTTGCGGAACATGATATCATGTCTTGAACTGCAGCCGATAACCAGCTCAATCAACGTCTGCAACAACAGCAAGATATGTCATGATTGCTTTGCACATGGCTACTGCTCACAACAATTGAAGTCAGAAAATCCATCCCCAAAAAGCTTCGAAGCAGTGACGGTCGTATGTTATCGCCAATTGAAAACCGAGAAAGTGACTCGTAGCCATATCAACATATTGCATCGTGAAGATCTTCAAATTTTCCCATAGCCAATCTTGATCCTTTCAAATATTACCCTCTGGTAAACGTTTACATAACTATGGAAAGATCCACCATTTTTAATGGGAAAATCCACTATAAATGGCAATTTTCAATAGCTATGTTAAATTACCAGAGGGTATCAAGATGAATCAGAATAATCAAATGTAGATAAATCATCTAAAGATTTGATGCGCCGAAAAAAAATAACATCGAATCGATCAGTTGACACGCGCTGCGCACAGCGGCCATGGTGACAATGGAGGCAGGACCTGGGCTCCTGGATTCCGCATGGGAGGGGTCACAAAAAACACCATAAACAAACCATTCATCCCGTATGTACTGACGCTGTACCTCCATTCATCCCATGCAACCTGACCATGGCACATGTGATGTGAATTGAGGATGGTTCCTTTGCATTTCTTGTAGCAGATTTGCAGAATGAACTGGCCTTACACCAACACAGGAAACCCCCACCGGGACGCTTACGAGAGGTCGCAGCCGAGAGCGACTCTCCGTACGAATCTCGTCAGGGACTCAGCCGGTGCTTGTTAGGTCAGACAAGGTCAGGCAGCGTTGGTTGATGACTATATTCAAACTATGGTGTATGGATGTGTATGACATGATATAACGAACTAGTTCTCATGGGTTTACAAAGCAACAAACACCGCTAGACCTCACCTGGTAGTTTCTCCAATTTTCTCCCCGCTGCAGGTGAGAAGGGACGCGACAAGCAGTTCGATGCCTACTGGAGGTGCGGCGGTGAGTTCAATGAATTCTGGAATTTCACGGACCCTGAGTCCCTGAGTTGTCTGGAAATCGTTTTCCAAAGCGTACCGGGTATGCTTTGGAACCTTATTATCCTTATTCTGCTATGATCATTTTTAGACAAACACACTAGATTCAAGTTGAAGTGTTAAATTTGAGGCTGGACTGCCCCACATCTGGAGCCACAGTGGAGGCGGGGAGTTACCCCTTGATCCATTCTTCAACATTGTTCAATGTGAAGATGATAAACCTACCAGCCAAACCTTTGGAAGCAACAAATCCCCATGGAATCTCACATTACGGGTTTCGGCATCCAACTCGCCTGGAAATTTGCTGCCCTTCCGAAGGCGTTTTGGCCGGACTTCGGCTGTTGGCTGCCGGCAAAGTTCCTTCGCGTGTGCCTTGGCAGCAGCTTGGAATGATATGGGAAGTTCAGCTGATTAGTCGCCAAGCCATTGGTAAGATTCAAGAGTCATAGATGTCCTTTTCCCGGTTGGTTCAAAGAGGAGTAACCCGCTAACTTTATGGAACAACCAATAGGTAACTTTATGACAGAACTGTGACTGTGTAGGGCAAATTACTGTCCGTACAGCATGATCCCAGCCGACGGATGCCACGAATGGCAGGAATGCAGATGGCAGCTTCAACATCCAGTGGAAGTCCGACAGTTCCACCAGCCCTTGGGGCAGCAGTATTGACCAAGATAGTGGCAGAATAGTAGGATTCCCCAATTTTTTTTTCTCCTAATTTTAGACACTAGTTGATGTTCTTTTTTTTTTCAACATGATATTATAATATCTTTCTTCGGGTACTGCGCACATAGTTCTTGGAATATCATCGAATTAGGGTCAGGGGAATTTTAAGCAACTCTGTTTGATCTCACTTGGAAATCGGTTCTAACCACGAGTGCCGAGCATTTGTTTTTTCAGGGGGAATTGGTCATCTAAATTCTGGGGGGCTGAGGTACCCTCCCTGATGACCATGTGCGAAAGCTTGGGGACAAAGCTGTCCCAGATCCCGTGGCAAAGAGAGTGGCAGGCAGAGCAGCTTCAGGTATATCTGCATATCCACCCAAATGGCAATTGTGATAGGGACAATTCTGACTAAGCAGTGGATGGAATACATGTATATATATATAATATAATATATATATATATATTTGGGGGGTTCCCAGCATTTTCAGACAAACCCACATGTCTTGGGTGAAGAGTTGTAGTGGCGGTCCAATACCTTGAGCCTGTAACGACGCTGTGGTCTAGGTGGCCTGACCCCCTCCAGTCATTGACCAATTTGTGCCGGTCCCATTTTGAGACACCCTTAAATATCATATGAAACCGGCGAATTCCCAAAAAATATCCGAGAAACCACCGCTGTAAAACGGTTGATTTCATACCCCCATTTGGCATTTCTTCATGGTTTTTCCCATGAAATATGGGGTTTCCTGTACATTTTCCCTTGAACCAATCCACCCAAAGCCATCTCCAGAGCCCTGCGGACCCTGCGGCGCAGATAGCTCCAAGCCCAGTGCTTCCCTCATGAGGCTTCTCAGGACGGTCCTGAAAATCGGCCAGCGCCATGAGTTCAGACAGGTGGTAAACAGCCTCATGGAGGCAGTAGAATATGTAGAATATCCCTTGAAGAATAACATGATTGAATTTGACAGGTAAATTGGAGTTATATTAACCACTATTAACCACTATTAACCACTATTAACCACTATTAACCACTATTAACCACTATTAACCACTATTAACCACTATTAACCACTATTTCGTATATGGCTTTGTCTGAAAATAGGGACTTTGAGTATCCCACTTCCAATAGATCCAAGAACTTTTCCCATTGAAACATGGCCATCGGTGGGGGAATAAAGGGTATACCGTTTCAACAACGATGACGCATCGAATGGCATCGGGACGTAGTGGTGATTCTGAACTTGGGACCCCAAGTTCGCATCCAACTTCAACAGCTTGTCATCAGGTCATTAGGACGAACCAAGGGACTCACAAACCCAAATTCGAGAAAAAAAGGTGTGGATAGTCATCTTCCAACCACCTCCAAAATGCTAAACATGCTATGCGCTTCAGGAAAATCAATCCTTTGGTCTAGTTGAAATACGTTGAAATGTCGTGAATATTTCGGGTGGCAGGAAGTCACGAGCCAAATGGAGCGACCGAGATGTCTATGCAGCTGCAGTGATTTGGTGATGACATCATGATCAACGGTGATCAAGGGTGAAGAGGACCGGTCGATACCATCGATACCTACCATTTTCGGGTAGATGAACATCATGAACATCCATTTTCCAAGGATTTTGGAGTTTATAGCACCATATTTGGGGGATGAATGTCCTTTTACCACTTTCACCAGCTGTTTTTGGGTTCACAGAGGTACCATCACCAAATGACTTTTTTCAGGTTCCTTCAGGACACCGAAGGTAGCAAGGTGCTGCAGGAAATTCACCAAAGACTGGCTTTGCCAAGCACAGTTTACCCTCTGGTAAACTAACATAACTATGGAAAATCACCATTTTTAATGGGAAAATCCACTATAAATGGCCATTTTCAATAGCTATGTTAGTTTACCAGAGGGTAAGTTGTTGGTGTTGAATGCCTTTGTGCTTTGATTTAGTGGAAATCGGGAAATCGATTTCACATGACAACGACATGCCCATAGCATGCTCATCCAAAGGGCGAGGTTTTGGGTCACCCAGAACCTGGGGGGTGAAGTGTCTAAGGAGAAGCTCAAGTCCGTCGACATTTTGGAGGCGAGATGCCGATTCATGATGTGAAAAAAACCGACAAAATGACATATCTAAATAAGACTTTCTTTAACGTAATAGGGAGTGGACTGGGGATGTTGAAATTTGTGGGTAAACCTTCACAAGCCAAAGTGGGACCACCCACTTTGGCCATGTCCAAAGGAATTTGGTCCACCACTCATGTACCGATAGATGATTGCAATTTGCAATCCCAATTTAGAAGCCGCTTTTTCGAGGTTTGGGCTGGTTATGAATGTCTTGGTTTTTGGCAGTTGACATCACCAGTCATTTTGGCACATCACATTGATAAACAGAGGCGATGATCAAAACGGATGTGAAATTGCAGACTGCTGGGTTTCTCTGAAAATAGGTTCCCCGAAAAAATCCATTGTTCATCATCATTTTCCCCAACAACAATTGGGATATACCCAGTTTTCAGTCGCACCCATATGTATTTTTGATGGTTCTGCATGGCCTATTAATTCCCATTATATCCCAGCATCATGCGCAAATTTTTGTTGCTTAACTCAGTGAAATCCACCCCCCCTTTGTTGAACGCTCCACGTTTCAAAAGCCGCTTTTGCCGACAAGTTCCGTGCCAGGTGGACGACTTGTTGCTGGCTGTTGAAGCTGAGCTGCGAGGCGGGTTAGTTTTTTCATATCGAAAAAGGACACTCCGGTGTCATCAAACGTGGCTGGGAAATCCACTATAAGTATCTATAAGTATCTATGTCTATGATAAATCTGATGAAGTTTTGAATAAGAACATCATTGAACCAGCCATAGTGGATTTTCCAGCCATGTTGCCGGCTGTCGTGGGTGTCTTGGGAATCCCAGGGGAAGCAAGCGGGGTGAACCAACGCAGGGGGGCTGAGCTCATCTGTGGTCGCTGGGAATTCAAACGACCTGCACTTCGGGTTGAAATACCTGGAAATCCACCAACGAAATGCGGAAATCGTCCATTGCCATGGCTTGATTTCCGGATACCTATTTTGGTTGATGGAACAATGGAATGCTTTTCAAGTTTTTGTGTTTCCTATATAAGTCGATGAACATGTGATGGTTGATTTTGCAGCATGATAATTCGTATTACTTTTTTTTTTCCTTTTTTTTTTGGTAGGATTCGACGTTCCTAAATGTGTTTGTGAGGTTCCTAAAGTAAACAGGGCCCCGATGGGCCCTGCGGGGTCACAGAATTCACCAAACCAAGTGACGCTGACGCTGAAGGTGGGGGATCTAGCCACGTTTGAATTTTGGTAGAGTAAACTGAGTAAAACATGAAATTTGGGGTGTTTCCCGTAAGATTTTTAGTATTTTTAGACTTTAGACAGGCTTGAGGTTATCTGATCAATTACTTTTGACTAGCCATGGTAGGCTGGTCTTGTCCCCAATCTTCTTTGCGTGGTAGTCCCATATTTTTGGATCCGCGTCTGAAAATCCCGGGGCGTGGACCTCATCTGGATTAAGAATTGTTTTTGCATGATCTTATTTCGAGAAACCTTCTTCTACCTTGGAGGATCATAATTTCTATTTCTGAAGGGAAAAAACACCATATATAACACCCAATCTGAAGATCCGCACCGTCAACACCTCGCAAGTTTCGCATGGAACCCAACATGCCCAAGTTCTCGACTTTGACTTTGGCCCCACCGTTTCGGGTTTGGAAAACACCTGTAGGTATCGGTAGGTCAGTAGGTTTCGACACCCTTTCGGATGCCAGTGGATGAGGGAGGAACGCCCAAAACCAGGGGACATCCCCAGGTTTATGTGCACAGAAAATCTCTTCCCATCTGCGCATGGTTGGAAGCTGCGTTCCAAGTGAAATCTGAGAACCCGTGGGTCCGTGTGGAGTCTTCTGGCTCATAGCCACACATCTAGCGCCAACAGTTGACGGGTGGGGCATGGAACTGCAACATGCCCACAGCAAAAGCGTCTGGGCGCTGCTGGCGGCGTGCGGTGTGTCCGCTTACTTTTTCTGGTGCCGCTGGCGGTTTCTTCAGCGGCTGCCACCCGGGAGATTTTGGATGTTACCTGTGCTGGGGGAAAGCTTGACCTATGTGAAAGATCCCTTGAGCTTCTTTGAGGAGATGGTGAAAGCGTCGGCTGCTTGTTTGGTGAATTGCTTGGTGTCTTCAGGTTACAGATGTTACAGGTCTTGTTTATTACAAATCCTCCAGGTTTAGTTGGTTACAACTCCAGTTCCGTTGATTCTCGGGTCGATGAAACTCCCTGGTGGTTGGCTTGCCATCCCTGGCGACAGGAGAAACTCACCCAGCATGGTGGCACCTGCAGGTCACATCTACTGCTAGCTCCTTCGGTCATCTTAGCCGTGACAGAGGAAAATGCCAAACTGATCCACTCCAAGAAAGATTTGGGATGCTGAGGTTTGATCAATAGTTTTGATTTGTATCCAGCAAAGTTGGGATTGAGTTCTGCAAGAGCAGAGTTTTTTCAAGGGCAACCCCGTTGGTCTCAAAAACCGCCAGATTTTGTTGATTGGCTGGCACCTACCGTCCAGTAATCAAACACGGCAAGGGACATTCCCAGCCATGTTTGATGACAACGTTGGAAACTTAGGATGGCCAAGACATTTTCAGAAACTGGTAGGGAGGAAGGCACTTGCCATGGTGAATGATCCACTTCACAAGAAGATTCGGACACTGAATAGCCGAGCCTTTGCAGATAAACAGCTGGACTCCTATTTGCCCAAGTTGCAGAAACTGTCTGCCAAGTACTTGGAGGATTGGGTGGGAAAGCCCAGCTCTGACTTGCATTTCGAGGCAGGAGAATTGGTACATGTTGGAAAATTGTGCAGGTTTTTTTCCACAAAGGATTGGCGGACCCATGTTTTCGATGACATCATGGGTTTCCCCAAGCAAGATGTTTTAGTTATGGCTGCTTCTTGCATCAGTAGGGGTTCTCTGTGCTAGAAAAGGGGGTAGAGTCACCGCCCAGCTAGAAATGATACGTGAAACCAGGGTATATGGATGTGCACACACACACACACACCCACATGGCAATTTTGATAGGGAAAAGGATGAACCATGGACTTTTCCAAAATTTGAATGATGAGACAAGTTGTTGTAATTAATTGGTTCAAAAACACATGGTTTCCTGTAGATTTCCGTCAAACCAGTCCATTGAAGTCAAGGCTTCCACATTTTGAGAAAACCCATATCAGCCGCAACTGAAGATGGAGGCCACACCACCAGTTACCAGTTGATATATATATATATTTTTTTTTCCCCTAATCTTCGGTGATATCACATCATTGTGGATCTTGAATTGCCTATTGTGTACCTAGAATTTAGGCATACCGTAAACGTAGAATTGTATGATACATTTTAATATTCATGTTCTATCCCCAACTTAAAAAGCCTAATGTGGGTAAAACAAAACCATAACATATAATAAACCATTCCCCAGTCATCACCATAGATAGGTGGTATGTTTACCATTCCCAAATGGGTGGTTATTATGGTTTGTTATTGTTTTACCCATATCCTATTTATATCAATAGTGATTGATATCCCATTAAACATCCATAACATCCTATAAATCCCCATTAAACCACTATGATCATTGGCCAATCTCAGAGCTGTTCTCTTTCAATGCGGGCCGTGAGGTAAAGCACTACGCCTTCGAGTGTGGTGAGGCGGTGGTTTTGGGCGGCGAACAGGTCAGGAGCGATCGCTTTATGAAGCTCTACGACAAAACCTTCGAAGGAGCCGGGCTGGGTTGAACATGGTCATTATATATGGGATCTGAATTCTATCCACCGTATATATATATATATATCCACCGTATATATATATACATATATATACATATATATATATATACATATATATATACATATATATATATATACATATATATATATACATATATATATACATATATATAGACATATATATACATATATATATGAGACACACGGTGTATATATAGTACATATATATATATGATATATGTATATATATATAACCGCATGAAATAAAGTGTCTTTTTCCTAAGCGAGTTTCCGCGACATGATTGTTATCCTTGTTTACGCGTCCAGATTCACATGGGAAAGAGGGTTTGAATCACAAACCCTGGGTGCCATAGACGCCATGGGAATTTTCGGACCTCAAGGGGGGTCAACTTGCGAAGGCAATCCAAGTAGTTTCTGCCAGAAAAAGCTTTAACAGTTGAACAAAAACAATAGGATCTGCCCTAGATATTTGTGTATATACATCGATGCATGCATGCATGCATCCGTCCATGGTCCATGCATGCATCCATGCGTCCATGCGTCCATGCATCCACGAATCCATGCATACAGGCATACAGGCATATATTCATGTAGTATACGGTTACTGTATGTAATGTGATTTTAATTGTGATTGAAATTGTAATTACAATGGTGTTTCGCTGCAGGTCTCGGCTGCATCTTGCCCTTTGATCTGCCGGGCTTTCCCTTTCGGGAGTGCATGAAGGCTCGAGGTCAGTTGGTGGAAGGATTCAAAGAGTTGATCCAACAGAAGCGTCGAAAACTGAAGCTCGGAGCTGCGATCGGGAAATGACTCACGTGTCAGGTCCTGTGGAAATGATTCGGTGAGAAGGGGACGCTTTTTGATGAAAGTCGGCCTTTGACTAGTTCAAAAGAAGAACACTGGGTGGGAACCGATTTTCAAAGGCACTGACTTCAATTTTTCGAGTCCTTTCTACGGCCACAAGGATGTGTTCACCCTGGCTGAAGAAAGTGCTGTGCAGGGTCAGAGGATTCTGGGACCCCCCAAAAACTTCACCATGAATCCTGGTCCACTAGTCGCAGTGGCCCCTGAGGAAAGATCCAGTTCGAATGTTCAGAATCAGCACCATGCTGGATACGATGCTGCAGCTTGGGCTTGGAAGGAAGCCAACTTTGGAGAATTTTGCGAGTTCGTTTCCGTAATTAGCTTACTTAGTCTCCACTTTTTCCGAAAGATATGTTGTTTTTCTTGTTCTTTGTCGGATAACATGGATGACATACATTTTGTTTGGAATTGAACAGAATTTGCTGCAGAACCACTCCGTAACTGGCACTGCATGGGAATCACAGGCAATTGAGCTGGAATTCTTGGCAACGACGCCATCAAACAACGAGACTCCAGAATTGCCTCACCGGAAAAAACAGCTTGAAATCCCACCAAAGTGGTCCTATGGCATTCGAAGTCCACTTGGACCACTTTAGGACCAGCTAAGACCAATACCACAGCTGGGGATAAATCGCTGAGATTTGATGGAAGTGTCACAAATCAGCACTGATATTTTTCCATTGGAAATAGTTGAATCCCGCCCTGTGATACAGTCGCATTTCATTGGATCAAAGCCTATCAAATAGCATAACTTGGATGAAGATCCACATTTTTCCAGCGATTTTGATGTGAAAACTCAGGGCATTTTTCAGGGGACGCGGGGGTTTTCTGAGGCAAACTGAAGGCACAGACGAGGAAGAACTGCTGGACTTCTGCATCGGGATGATGTTCGCAGCCCATGATACCACCCTGTGCAGCGTTCAGAGCTGTCTCCACTGGTTGAAACTCGCCCCGAAACGAGCGCCGTCGTAGGGGGTCGTAAGTGTAGTAGGAATCCCTTCATGAAATACTGCCATATGGGCCCCCAAATGAACAGATCCAAGACTAAACCAGGCGTTTCTATGGGTTTCTAGCGGATATGATCATATTGCAAATAAGGGATTACTCAGATGCTGCGATATATCTATTCAACCAGCAAAGGTGGGGGTAGAAAACTTGACCATTGGAAATACAATGGGGATAGGGGTTTCTTGAAATGGGCCCCAAGTTGTCATCCAGTTTATTGGTCATTTCAGTTGGGAACATCCCACAAGGCTGGTGCTTCAGCCCAGTTTTCATGATCTCTCTCGACTTTTCTAGATCTTTGATGTCCCAGTAGTTTTTAAAGAAATGCAATAGACATGGTTTGAAACCCATTTCCCCATTTTTTTTTCCACGTTTTCCCCATCTTTTGCCTGGCTTTTTGGAAACGCCAGGAAAGCGTTTCCAGCGCTGGAGCAGCGGCTCCGAAAGGAGGTCAAGGATCTCTGGGACGGCCAGGCGTTCTCTGTGAATCGCCCATTGTTGGAGTCCATGCACCAAACCAGGGCGTTCCTTCAGGAAGTCTGGAGGACGGGACGCCTGGAGTCGAGGTCCTTATAAAGTTGATGTGGCTGGAAAAGCCATGGGAGAAAAATCAGGATGTCATGGGCATGGTTACATCCAAGTACTCTCCCCCCTTCATATTGAACACAGAACCGTTTGGTTCCAAAGATGTGTTTTTTTAATCCCCTATTAACCATGGTTTCGTTTGGGGGTGTTTAATATGAATCGGGGAAGAGATGAAACTAGATGTTGCAAAGCCATGGGGAAAGCCCGTTTCGAAAATGATCTTCGTGATGGGTAACTTTAGGGAGTTTGAGAATTGGAACTACTGGAAGACAGGAAGTGAGCATCTTGGTGAAGTAAGGGAACCACTGGACAGAATTTGTGAATTTCAGTGGTAACTGGCTAGGTGATATTGATATTGGTGACGGAAACTAGCGGGAATTGCGGGTTATTCTAAGACATGGTCAGTACTGCAGAATTTTGCTGATATGGGTGATAGTGACTGGGCAATGTCTCCCAAGAGATCAAGATGGCATGCACTAAGTTCTGATATCAGTATAGAAACAGTGTGTGAGATATGATGTATATGTATGGATTTACCCTCTGGTAAACTAACATAGCTATGGAAATTCACCTTTTTTTTTTTCACAGGTTTTTTTCATCATAAATCAACGAACTAAACGTGCGATTTTCCATCCATTTTCTGTTAAATTACCAGAGGGTACACATTAACACATGCAATGTCCACTACTGCGGGAAAATGGCGTCACAAAAATCTGTTGCTCAAGTTTTGACCGATCAGCAGGAGCGGTAATGACTCCAAGAAGCAGGATATAACATCGATTTGGGATCCGACAGAAGGGGTAAATAGCCGGTAAACGTTTAATTTTCTTTCTTGTTCTTCAAGTATTTCAGGCAAACATTCATAGAATTGATGATTGGAGATCCTTCCCATGAGGATTTGCCAAAAATCTCGGCCATTTTCCAGGACAACGCCGCCCGTGCAAGTGGTGGTTCGCAGCTTGAGCGAAGACACCGAGGTTGATGGCTATCTGATTCCAAAGGGTTGGTCGATCTATTTTGCCCCGGCAGGTCGGCACAGCAAGGCTGAGAACTTTAAGGAGTTTTCCATCGAACGACACCTGAAGGATGGGAAGTTTCTGGATAGCACCTTTGAACCTACCTATTTCAATGCCTTCGGAGGTGGCAGTCGGATGTGTATTGGATGCTCGATATGAAATTCTGGCCTCTAAAGTGGTGATTCCATGGGTCTTCCACCGAAACTCCAGTCTTGGCATTGAATCAGGTGGCCACAAGATGTGGCGGTTTGTAAACATGGCCCAGCAACCATAGCCCAGCTTCACCAGTCTCTTAGCCAAATGGCATTTGCACCTCCCACCGATTCCATCTATTTGTGGCCGCCATGTCTGAGGATACAAGTTCGGGCGCGATGAGATGTTGGTGTTTTTGCTGAACTTTCTTCATGGTTACGACCTGCGAATTGATCGATCTGACCTCAAGAAGTTTCCGTTTCACTTCTGGCGCCTCACTGGTAGCTTCCAACGTTTATCACATGGATAGTTCCATCGCCTGGCTCAGTGTGGTCCTAGAAGGCCCAAGATTTTCTGGCTGGACAAACCCTTCCTTCCAATGGTTGCTATGGTTGTCGCGAGATGATTGTGAATATCAGTGGCTGCTATACAACTCCCTCTTGATTGATGATATGGGGTTCTATACTATCCACTATATAGATTTATATAGGAGGTTCTCAGAATCCATGAGCTGGGAAATGCTATTTAGCTTTGAGAAGCCACTGATTTGAGGCCGTGTTGCGTAACATTTGTTCAGCGGCCAAAACAGCCAGCACCTGATGGAAAAAAGGGCTCGGACTGCACAGATAATGATCCTTAAAAGTGGATAGTGCGATGCTCCATGAAGATTATGACAATTTGGAAGTTGTTGAACGTCACAACTAGTAGCCATGTGCACTCCCTACGAGTATTACAGTCCATGCAGTGCAGTTTGCTAAAGAAAGGGATTTTTTGATTGAATATAGAAACAGCCATTCGAGAAGTACTCAATTGAAGCCCCTAGTTTGGCTGCTTAATTCTCCCAGCTTGCGTGATAGGAGGGTTGTATCCCCGTTTTGATTATCTCATTATCTCTGTTCTTCATTGCTCATCTTCCCCAATATCCACGAAGTCGCCCATGATCCCCATTTTTCCAGCATTTGATTCTTGTTGATGAGTAAAACACAAGTGTTTTTCTCGGATCGGTCACGATCATTCCAATCTTTTCTAAAACAAAAACATCTTCATGGAGGTTATAACTGTTATAACTCCCCATGTTGAACATGTTCCGGATGATGATTCTTCCTTTTTTTGGGGTAAAACCCACCATTTTTCCCGGAGTTTCCCATGGTTTTCACCATGCTTCAACCAAGGCCTGCAGCGATGCGGGCTGCGCAGCTTTGCAGAGGCCACCCTGAAGGCCTTGCTGCGGCAGCGCGAACGCGAGACACGCGAGACACGCGAGGAGGCGGAGGAGGCGATGGGAAAACCCATGGGAAACCATGGGAAAACCCATGGGGAATTTTTCAGGAAAACCATGGGAAGACTGGGATGACTGGTGATGACTAGCTGGCTGGGGAAGAATGGAAAAATCTGGTGATTTTTGGATGGAATTGATGGAATTGATGGAATTGATGGATGGGAGATTCATGGGGTATTCCTGTTTTTTTTCTGGGATTCATGACATATCAAAATGGGATATGAATGGGATAGTGGGGGATTGATTCGGATTGATGGAAATGATATAAGAATGGACATGATGGAGATGATTTGATGGGATAATGGGATAATCCATTCTAGCTGTGCATGTCGCTTCCAATTGACCTAGGTTGACGATTTTGCTCAGAAACTGGGGTATACAAAAAACCACTTGTCTGGATTCATGATACACTTACTCCCCCACTACTTACTCGTTTCTTCGCCGTATGTCTTGGCTTGTTCCCCCATGAACACCTTCACTATCATCAGCTGCAAGGCATGTGAGAATCAGCCGCCTGAAGAAGAGAGGCCAACTCCAAAGCGAAACGTACGCAATGTTTGTTTATCACGCAGGAAGAGCACGTCCGGAATGTATGCATGTATGTATATATATATACACATACACTTACACATGTTTTATGATACATCATATTTATCTCTATACACGTATCTATATCTATATATATAATATATGTATATATATATATATGTATGGACATGTATGTATATATACACACATATGTGTGTATATACATATATTATATACATATGCATATGTCCGTCTCTCTCTCTCTATGTATATATTATATATAAATGTTGATGTCTTTGTGTAAATATTTGTATGTGAGAGCCCCAATTTCGATCCATGTCGACATTTTTGCAAGGCCTTCAAAGCCACAGAGACACGGCGCATTTTCACGGCAAGCCCTGAAACCCCAGCAGCCGGGGCCCTGCGACTGGCGGTGACTGGCGGGGTTTCGATCGACCCATTTCGGCCGAGAAAATGGGATAAACAATGGACAACTACATAGAAGTATAGCAAATAGTTGAATATATGTGTATATTACACATGATATATGAAGCATCATGTTATACATGATGTGTTCTATATTACATATTACATAGTATCGTGTATATGATTATAGACTTCCAGATATTTCAGAATATATTGACACCACTTTTTACAAGAGGATGTGACAACTGGCCAGCTGGGTTTTTCCAACCCAGATCGAGATATCTTTGTGTCGCACGTGATTTCATGTTGCTTTAGGACTTACAAATCTCTCAATGTCTATGGCTCACCTCCAAACTTGGATGTTACCCTCTGGTAAACTAACATAGCTATTGAAAATCACCATTTTTAATGGGAAAATACACTATAAATGGCCATTTTCAATAGCTATGTGGCTGTTTACCAGAGGGTAATGATTTGTAAGTGGTGAAAAATATCCACATAGCCACTGAAAAAAAACCTCACGTATCTTGCAAGAAACACTTTGTGGCTCCCGTGGCATCATGTTTCGCCATGGCGTCCAGGGTCTTTTCCTATGAGGAGGAAGCGATCAAGGTGGTGTGGGCCTCCAGTGGCTGCGATCTACCTCTGTTGACGAGTTCGGGGTTTAGACTAACCGTTATATTATTGGTTTTAACCAATAATCCACTCGGAAAACTGGGATTTAGACTCACCATAGTTCGGGCTTTAGGCTATCCATGGATCATAATCCACTGGGAAACCTGTTCTGTGAAATCATCGGTCACCGAACCCACGGCGAAAGCAAGGTGTGGCTCCGTAGCAGGTAGCTACACCCGGTTTCCGATAGAAATGACCATGAAGCAAGTGTTGAAATGCCCAGAAATAACCACTGAAATGACCAAACATGGATATGGATATGAATATCACTGAATGCTTGTGACAGAAGCAAGGTATTGAACTTGGATTTTGTTTTGTTGGATTTTCATCCGAATGCTGAAAGAAATACTAATCAACAACCTCAACAATCAACGACTTCAACAATCCGTTCCAAAATATAATTATGTGACCATCAACAGTGTATGGTTAACTAGTAAATGCCGGTTCCAGTATGGAGGTTTCCTAAAATGGGGGTACCCATCTAACATCCAAGTCATGGATGACCCTTTTAGTACTCAAACAACCATGGTGACTTGGGGATCCCCAAAAACTAAAGAACATCCAGCGTTTGGTGGTCACCCCTGCCCGCCGAGAGGGTGATGGATACGTATGTAGGATGTGTATGTGCAAATCTACACAGTATGTATATGTATGGCTGTGTGCATATGTCTATGTATCCCTCCCCCCCTGTGGATGTGGGGGGGGTAACCCCGCATACCAATAGGGGGGGAGGAGGGGGGGCCGTGAACACGAGACACGGGACCGTATATATATATATATATGTATAGTTTATATATATATATATGTATAGTTTATATATATATATATGTATATGCATATATATATATACATATATATGTATATATATATATGTGTATATGTATATATATATATATATACATGTATGTATATATATATAGTTTATTGCCAGTTTCTATAGTTGTTTCTTTTCATGGAAGGAACAATAACAAGAAAGTGAATGGATGCCGAAGAATCCGAGGTCGCAGCCGAAGAACTGCCGGGCACCGGAGGCCGAGGGGGTGGTGACCCCGCCATCATTGGGGTCTGTTGGTGAACCAATGTGTTTTTTTATACTATCACTATGGAGGTTTCTATATTATCACATATATATATATATTTAGATAGATAATGTTATTTTATCATACTATAATTTATATACCTATCAATCATATATAATCATCTATATTATATCCAATATATGGAGGTTTCCTAAGTCATGGGGCTGCCCCCTTGCATCATCCAGTCGTCATGGATGACCATGACTTAGTATTGAAACAATCAAACAGGGACGACCGGGGATCCCCCATGACATAAGAAAGCACTAAATTAATACAATAAACCGACTGGGAATGAATGGTTCATTGAAACATCTTGACCTTATTGACGGGGGATATGATGCTGGAAAACCATTTGGGTCATGACCATAAACCTCAGATATGAATTGGTAGATACTGGGTTCCAACCACGTAGAACTAGCTTCGGATTTAACGCGAAAGGGAGCAAACTTGCCTTCACCCTCTGGTAGTGTCAAACATAGGGGATGTAATTCTCTTTCTCCTCATCCAAATAGATTTAGAATCATGGTTTTCCACTATCCACATCAACGAGCATTGTATTGCTAACATTGCTCTCAGATAGTCAAACCTCCATTGGGGCAGAGATTTCCCAGCCATGAAAATCATGACACCAGGCCTAAAACCTGGCTTTCTGCTGGGGGAAAGGGAGCAGGAGGAGTTGGGACGGGCTCCGAAAGTGGAAAGAGCTTTTTTTGAAATCGTGGTTGGATGAGAACAGGATTCCCAGTTGGTGGATAATGATAATCATAGTATAATCCCGATCAAATCATCAAGCAACAGGTTGTGAAAAAAAGTTTTGATTTTTGGAGTTTCAGTTGCAGTTTGCAAGAACTGTTTCAAGGCTGGATTCCACCACAAAGGTTCAAGATGGCTGAAAAGATTGGGCTCCCAGTGTTCATTGCTACACTGAAATTTCCTGGGGCACAGGAGCGGTTGGATACCCCGGTGGCAACCAGCGAAGTGGGTGGCTTCCGGTGGAAGAACAAGCGCAGCGAACCTTTGAGGCGAAGGGGATGAATAGTCAGGATGTTCTCCAACAATCACCCAAAAAAATCTAGGGGATATGCTAGGGGATATAACAACATACATATATATATATATATTATATTATATATATACATAATGGGAATATTAGTGGGATGATTAACCATCACTTCATGGTTCTTCAGGGAAAACCAGCCGGGGACGGGGCCCTTTTTTCAGCTGCCGAAAATTCAGCCCGAAAGTGACCAAGTCGTGTGGTGAGCTCCAATTCCAACCAACATGATCTGGTCATGTTACAAGCCACCATCAAACGTGGCTGGAAAATCCCAGAAAATGGGGGTTTATACAGTTTATACCTGGAAAAATCATATCAAACATTATTACCCTCTGGTAAACATACAAAAAACGATGAAAAATCACCATGTTTAATGGGTAAATGAACTGTTTGTTTACCAGAGGGTATTTGGTAATGTTACAACCCACCATCATATTTGAAAGGATTGGAATTGCTTAAATTTCCAAATCATTTCAATTCCAACCCACCACCCAGTCATATCCAGTCATCATTCCCGCGGCAGTCCGTCTTCAGATGAAAAATACGGTCCTCCAAAATCGGTGAATCATCATTTGTCCTATCTGATTTGCCAGCTCTTGGGGTTAAATCATTTAAATCCTCCATTTTCAACCCAAACCTATATTCCATATTCATCAGATTGTTAGTCGTATCCCATTAAATCCCCATGTTGCCCTCCCGAGTCAAATGTGGCAAGCCGGAGAATGCCGACTTTTTATCGATGAATTTCCGAGCTGTAAACCTCCATGACTCGTTGGGGGATTTTCCAACCAGCCACGCGGGCTGATTACCAGAAGGCAACCATCAAACATGGTTGGTCGTTGTAAGTTATATACTGTTAATTAAGGTCAATTGTCCCATTTCGTGGGAATGATGCTGGGAATAGTATCCCGATTTTATGATCCCCTAATAGGATATCCCGATTTTATGATCCCCTAATAGGATATATGATATATATATGATATATTCCCGATTGATTCTCCCATTTCTACAGTTTTATATCTATGATTTTCCCGAAAAAAAATGTCATCTTGGAATGGCAGGTCAGAGTCGCCAGGCCACAACTCGGGGAAGGGTTCAACCTCTGAGGCATGGACCAGGTACAGTACTATATATATATGATACATATATATATAGAAATCATAGATACTTCTATACATGATATGATTTATGTAGTTATATATATATATAATATAAATATGATATAATGGTATATGTATATGTATTGTATTCAAGATTGCCAGGTGGCAATGATACTAGGGAGCATCATCTTGCTCGCCTTCTACCATCTTCAATTGGCGTATGTAAGATGGTAAACGATCTTTTGCGGGACTCATTCTATACTTGCCATTGAGTTCATGGAGATGCCTCAATTTGATCGAGAATCGGATGACTAAAATCCTGGGAATTTTCAGTTTTCAACACCAAAGTCAACTGATTCAGCACCATGGTCCTGCCACGTTTGCAGGGCCAGCCCCTGCGCCGATCGTCGAAAAGAAGGAGTCTGAAGAGGTGCCGATTTGGAGAGACCAATGTCTGAAAATGTGAGGAAACTGACTGAACCTCCCCAATTTTAAAAGCCATTTATAGGACAAATGATGATGAAGCAGTGGAAACATGGGAGGATTTGCCATTTTCTTCATGTTTGGAGAAAAATACGGTGGAATCATGTGCATCAAGGAGCCCCGTTGTGATGCCAGGTGGTGGTGTACTGCCCCAAACAGCACGCCTTACGTCCTACGGCCAAACAGAGGGCCCTAATGGGTGATGTTTTTTCATCGGTCGTTGATGGCTGTTCAAAAGGCTTTGGATCTCAAAATGGTGATCTTTTTTTGGGTTACATACTTGATAGTGGTGAAATATTCGCTTGGCTTCCCTTGCCCTGGAAACGATTTGCCCACAAAATGGCAGGGAAAATCATCGGCAATTGCAAATTCAATGTGTTTACCCCCATTGAAGTGGCATGTCACCCATTAAGATCAACTCAGTAGAGATACTAGGCCGAGTAACGGGGGGGCTATGGATTGAAGGTGATAAGGAACAACCAATCATTGCAAACACCATGCGGCCATTCACAACCTTGCAAAGTGTCCGAAGGTTGCTGTTGACTTGGCCTACCAACACTAATTTCACCCCCATGTGACATGGCAAGGTTCGGAAGGAGCTTCATATGACATGGACTGTGACCGCTGTGGCAAAGAAATTTCCACAGGCGCCGTTGTGATGTGTTTTCTGTGACCGCGATGGCTAGTTGAAATCGAATCTCAGGACGCGGAACAACGATTTCGCGAATATCCAAAGTTAGCTGTGGCTTACATCTGGCGAATCCACAATGCGACAATTGACTCTATATGTGTTTCATTTCCATTCTTGCTTGATTATAGACATCAATTCTGTGCGTCGTCTGCTGCACAGACGTGGTGTCCGCACTTTTTTCCACCACTTTATCATGTTGGGTGGCTTTACCATTTTTATTTGCTTTATCCAATCTGTTGTTGGTTGAACTATCCCACAATCACTGTTGTGGTTTAGTTCTCTAGCCATTTTATAGCCTTTGTCTGAAAATAAGGTAGCCTTAAATCCAATGGTTTATTGTCAATTTCCTATTAGGTTGCCATTTTTGGAGAGCAGGTTCGATCCCTTTTGTAGACACAATTTAATCTATGTTGGCCTGGACAATGCTTCAGCCCGCATGAGAGGAGAAAACATCTGGTGGTGTGGGCTGTGTGGTACCTTTGGCGTGAAGTGGAGACTTGAGGTGTAGTCTTGTATTTCTTTTCATGGTCAACTTGGAGATCTCTATATATATATATACGTATATATATATATATATACGTATATATATATGTATATATACATACATACATACATACCATACCATTTACATTACATTACATTACATTACATTACAATACATTACATTACATTACATTACATACATACATACATTACATACATACATTACATTACATTACATTGCATTACATTACATTACATTAATACAGACATACATACATACATACATACATAGATACATAGATACATAGATACATAGATACATAGATACATAGATACATAGATACATAGATACATAGATACATAGTATATAGTTTATAAATATCATACATATCATAAGTCCAGGCGAAATTGTTCCAGATTGGGGCTCCCCCGAAGGTGGATCAATGGAAAGTTCCAAAGTGGGCGACTGACATCCCAATGTATATTGGTGATCGGATACGTGCGTTGATAAACCATGGTATCCCATCATGGGAGAATCAGCCCATTGGTTCATGGCCATTGGTTCAGTCATAGTTCGAAGATGTTTTTAGAACTCATTGAGAGATGCGTCTTGAAGGATCATCCCAAATTTTACCCTCGGGTGTCCGAGAGCAGCACCGCAAGCATCATTCCAATCTCCCAACGAGTCATGGAGGTTTAGTGCGCTGGGAGGATCAATCGAACTCGATGGGTGATTTGTTTCCATTGCTATGTTTGATTACTGAAGCATAGCCAGCATAGCTATTATTGATAGTGACTGATAGTGTGGCATCCCAAACAGAGAACGGGGCCAGAGATGGGACAACTGGAAGCGCCAAGGTTATAACCTCTGCCCTGAGTGTCATGCAGAGAAAGCGGTGTGAGCTTGACCATAGGACCAGCATCCTGGGAAAATCTCAAAACTTGGGGGACAACAAGCCACAATACTGTTTAGCTATTTTTGCTGATCTTTTCACTTTGAAGATGTAGATTCAGAAACATCGTGAAGATATCTTGCAGTGGCGCCTCATTTTAGTCAAGATATCACCGTATTATTGATTTGTTTTGTTTCGCTTTGTTTGCTGGTCTACAACAGTTTCTTCATGGAACAAAAAGCGCTGCAACATCTATGCGGCGGAACCTGTGGCAGTGTCACCAAAGAGTGGCCGCAGCGCATGGTTTGTGACGGAAAAGGACGGATGGAGACGTTGCAGACACGCCCGGAACACATCCCCGACATTCCAAAAATGATGTACTATTTACTGTAGTACTCATATGTATAGGTGTAAATAGGCCCTCAGCGAGTTGGCCTTCTCAATGTGGACGAGTCTCAATACTTGGGTGCAAGCTTGGTTGGCTATTCTTAGTTGATAACATGTTTTTTCCTGGTAATTACAATAGCCATTCCATTTCCAACCGCCAGGTACCGAGCCCCCGAGATCTTGTTGGGCTCCACGTCTTACATGAAGGCTTCCGTCACCTTTTGGAGCATGGGCCAGGGTGGAAATGGGGATTCAACCAACCAACCCAGCACTTCTTCCAGGGCATATGAATGGCTGAAAAAAACACCCAGATTTCTATGGGCTTAGGGAAAATCCACAGGAACCATGGATTTTCCCATGAAATGTGGGAGTTCCTGGGATTTTTCCTTAAACCAATCCATTGATAAAAGTCATCAGGATGAAAGGTAGACTGGTTGTATCCTCCAAAGATCCCCGCCATGTTTGGACAAGTCATATACCGCTGAGCCATTGGTAACGGTGGATAGTTAATGATAGATAATTGCTGGCATTGGACAAGAATGGCTTGTGAATGGTAAGATCCTTCCCCTAAAGTTGCCATATCCAAAGTACCGAATTCGAAAGTTGACCATCCATAACTGGTTGGTGGTTGAAACCGCCAATCAGACATGTTTTGGATTCCGTGCAACGTTGAAAAATTGGGGATTGATCCTCAATCCATCTTCATAGGGATTTAGATTACCCTCTGGTAAACTAACATAATGATGGAAAATCACCATTTTTAATGGATAAATCAACTATAAATGGCCATTTTCAATAGCTACCTTAGTTTTTATCAGAGGGTAACCAATTGTGTTTGGATTCCGTACAACTTGCCGAGGGCGTGGATCTTTGGAGTGTCGGATGCATCCTGGGCGAGCTCCTTTCGGGCAAACCCATCTTTCCAGGCGGAAACGGAAGCGGTGTTGGCCTTGTTTGGCATTGTGCACTCTCCCTCTCTCTCTCTCTCTTTCTCTGCAATTACATAAAATTACATATAAACATATGTATATATATATAGACAGTATATACATACATATATATGATATTTGTGATATACGATATATATATAATTATAATTACATAATTATATAACTATACAATTATATGATTATATAAGTATATGATTAGACAGATAGACTAGATAGACTAGATAGACTAGATAGACTAGATAGACTAGATAGACTAGATAGACTAGATAGACTAGATAGATAGATAGATAGATAGATAGATAGATAAATATATAGATAGGATTGGATTAGATTGGATTAGATTAGATTAGATTAGATTAGATAGATAGACAGATAGATAGATAGATAGACAGATAGATAGATAGATTAGCTTAGCTTAGCTTAGATTAGATTAGATTAGACTAGATTAGATAGATGAGATTAGATTAGATTAGATTAGAATAGATAGATAGATCGATAGATAGATAGATAGATAGACAGATAGACAGACAGACAGACAGGCAGGCAGACAGATAGAGAGATAGACAGATACACGGATAGACAGATTGACAGATTGACAGATTGACGGATAGATGGATAGATGGATAGATAGATTAGGTTAGAGTAGAGTAGATAAGATAGGATAAGATATGAGAAATAAGGTAGACAGATTAGATCAGATCAGATCAGATTAGATTGTATAGATAGATAGGTGGATGGATGGATGGATGGATGGATGGATAGATAGATAGATAGATAGATTAGCTTGATTGGATAGATTAAATTAGATAGATTAGATAGATTAGATGGATTAGATAGATTAGATAGTTTAGATGGATTAGACAGATTATATAGATTAGATACATTAGATAGATTAGATAGATTAGATATATTAGATTCAATTAGATTAGATTAGATTAGATAGATAGATAGATAGATAGGTCAGATAGATCAGATAGAGCAGAAAGATCAGATAGATCAGATAGATCAGATAGATAAGATAGATTGGATAGATTAGATAGATCAAGATAAGTCAAGGTAAGATTAGATTAATAGATAGATAAGATAAGATTAATAGATAGATGGATGGATGGATGGATAGATGGATAGAGGGATAGAGAGATAGAGAGATAGAGACATAGAGATATAGATATATAGATCTAGATTTAGATTTAGATATATAGATAATTTGATATACACAGAATGTAGAAATATCTGCATCTACAGTATTTTTTTTTTCTACAAATACTGTATCTCTACAGCCCACATCTCTTAGACGCCAGGAACCTCCACGATGAATCAGCTGGATCGCATCATGGAGGCCACGTTTTTTGGGCATTTCACAAGCTAACATGGTGGTTTTTCACCAAGAACAGTGATGGGATGTACTGGGATGTACTGCAACGAAAATCATGATGGTTGGGTAAATGATCATTGGGAATGTCTGAAACATCTTTGTCAAATCTCCGAAATGAACAGGTTTTGAGGTTTTGGGCTACTTGCATCGAGTCAGCATGAACAACAACAACCTAGTCAGGTTAAGCATTTGCTGAACAACTGCCCAAGCCTTGCAAAACAGGGACCCGAAGCTTGGGATTTTGGGGAGCTGAACACATCGAGCATCTCAAAGGGATCTGCTGACAAAATGGGTTTGTCTGAAAATAGGAGAACGTAGAGTTATCATTATGTTCCCATTAAATGGCCATTACGTGTGAGTAAACATACAATTTTGCACAAACCCAGACACCAAATGCTTATTCATATGTATACATATATATATATACATGCAATACATAGACTATCTCTCATTAGATCATCATAAACTGGTTGGTGGTTCTTTTGTGCTCGCCATATCCCATTACATTCGATAATATCCTCATTAAATCAATCATATATTACTTGTATGACAATATATTCACTGGTTTAACCCTTTAAAAAAATGGTAAAACCACCATTTTTCATGGTAAAATCACCATTTTTCATGGTAAAATCACCATTTTTCATGGTAAAACCACCATTTTTCATGGTAAAACCAACCACTTCCCCACTCACCGCGTCGCTCACCGCGTTGACGCAGGTGACTGGACGTCCCAGTAGCGAAGACGTGGACGCCATCAAGTCGCCCTTTGCGGCCGGGAGATCCCAACGAGATGACACATGATGACGCAGACACATATGTATATATATATATACCCTCTGGTAATTTGACATAACTATGGAAAATCACCATTTATAGTGGATTTTCCTATTGAAAATGGTGATTTTCCATAGTTATGTTAGTTTACCAGAGGGTATATGTATATACATGTATATAGTATTATATATCATATACATGTTATACATATTAAACAAAAGTATATAAATATAAATATAAATATAAATATAACTACAAATATGAATATAAATATGAATATAAATAAAAAAACATATATATCTGGTTAAATTATAACGACCTCACCGCGACCTCACTGGAATCATGGTTAATAAGGGAAATCATCCCCAAATGGCCTTGATATTCAGGTTAGTGAAATATGATGATTTACCAATGTATATATATATATATTATACATATTACATATGATATATATATATATATCATATGTATGATACACATTATATATATACACATGTATATACATGATGGATATATATATATATGCATACATAATACATGATATATGAATTCATACACACGGCCACGAGTGCAACCCGCTGCGACCAAGGCCACGATGTTGGAGTCTCTACCCATGAGCCGGCCGAGGAATGGGGCGGAATTCATGGGGATGTGATGGGAAGAAATGATGATTTTCCAAGGGAAACCATCGATTTTCCACATCGAACTGTTAAGTTTACCCTAGGGTATGTGGATGAATTCTAACGACTTCACTGTTCTTGTGATTGAAATGATGGTGAATGGATTGGGGTAACTATCCCAAAATGGCCCGAATCATTTTGATTCAGCCAGAAGTACACGCATATATATATATATACATATTACATTACATTACCTTACCTTACCATTACATTAGATTTACATTACATTTACATTACATTTACATTACATTACATTACATTACATTACATTACATATCATACATATGTACATACAGTATGCACATATATAGATGTCCGTATGGGATTCTTGGGTGATTTTGAACCCTTGTTGGGCGCATTGGATTTTTGGAGAGCCCGCTCTTCAATAGATAGGTGAGCAATGGCTGCTAAACCAGTGTTTGTTTGTGGTCATTAACTCACACTTTATACATTGGGGATCATCACTATCGTCATCATCGTCATCATCCTCCTCCTATGAACTGAGAGTCCAGTTCTTAAGTCGCCCAGTTTCTGTGGATCGCGAAAGCTCTGACTATTTAATCCCTGTGCAGCTATCCAGCGGACCATGACTTCAATGTGCGATCCAAAGATGATTCTGAAAATGGGGGATCTGCTCCCCAATTTTAGAACATTTTTAAAAGACATATTTTTATAACATGATGATCAACTGATTAGCTGAGCCCATGAAAATTTTGTGGTTTTCACTTGGAGGCCATTGAGCGAGATGTTCCCATCAGCAAGTGTGGAAGCCCTTGATCTCTTGCGACTTTGCTTACAGCCGGGGGGCCCAGATGCGCAGCGGGGAAAACGGATGCCTAGAGAAGGGGAAGATCTCTTTTTGTTGGTGGGTGCATCTTGAACTCTAAGCCTGAAATGTGGCTGAAACACGTCGGTGTTTCAATGATGCAACAGTTTGTCCTTGTTCTTCTTAGATGGAGCTTCATATTCTTGCTTTCCGTGAAGCAAAAGGGATAACCATACCTCGTTTCCGATCTAACTTGACCATGGCCATCCATGGCCCACATCGGTCGAATCGTGTTCGCCAACGGAATGCAACTTTGCCACCAGCAACTGCGAGATTCCAGACGTGGTCTGCTAGTCCAATGACCCCACAAAAAGACCTTTCGGAAGTCAACTATATATATATAATATGATATATATATAATATTATATATAATATTATATATAATATATATATATATTATAATATATATATATTATAATGTCAGTAGAATCTGGTTGCAAGTGCAATGGACACACATAGTTGTACAGTGGTCTTTGGAAATCAAATCTGGGTCGGTCCAAACATAGGGTATGCCATATGCCCCAAAATGACCCAACAGGGAAGTGGGAAAATGATGAACGATGGAAATTTTGTGGAAAAAGATGGTGGCACCTCGTTTTCAGACCAATCTGCGGTGGATTCTCTGCCACTCTGAGGTTTAACCCTAACAAGCGCATCACTGCGAAGGATGCCTTGCGCCATCCGTGCGCCAGCGACGTCACTGTAGATGGTGAATCAATGTGAATCATCCCCAAATGGAGGTTTCTTAAAATGTGGGATCCCCAAAAGCATGGGTTTCAATACTAAAATGGTCTAATTTTGGATGAAAAATGGGGGACCCGCATTTTTCGAACACCTCCAAATGGCTAAACAATTCAGGCTGATGAATTCTCCAAATTCAGAGGGCCAAACAAAATCAGTCAATTCCGAATGGTTCGTGGGGAAAACAATCTATTTTCTAACACTAGCGTAATAGTCTGTACATCCCCGGTATTTTCGCCAGCCCGCCGGAAGGCTAAAAAATCTTCAGCTCCCGTTGACGTCAGAAAGCGCTTAAGCGCCGCCGCACCAGTGCTTGGAGAGGTACGTTGTTCAGTTTCATAACCCGGATGATGAATTCGATTGTGACCGTGCGAAGCCCAGATAGAAGTGGTGCTGGTCATAGCTCGTCACCAAAACCTCGATATTTACTGTGGTGCTGGTCGACAATGCGGCCAAGAGAGGAAGACTTTTTCAAATGTTCTGCAATCGGTGGCCACAATGGCTCAAATTCTGTTGGTGATTGGGCCCAAATCCTTCGTTTTTGTTGGAAGTGACTGGTGTTTTCCAGTTGATCTTGTCGAAGCTCTCCCATCCACCTTTCATCTTGTCGAAGCGACTGAGGTACGATTCGAATTCCCATCGATGATAACACCAAACTTACGGTGCAGGCGACTGGTTGGAAGTATCATGTCATGATGGGTGTGCCCATATATGTATGTATATATATAACTACGGGTATACAGCGGTATACGGTATAACCATAATCACCAATAGATAAGAACATGGGATGGACCTGTGGGTGTTTCTTGGCTTGAATCACAAAATCATCCAAACAAAAACGGGAAACCAATGGTTTTGGGCTGGTTTCCTTTGAACAAAACCCATATGTGGCGAATAGGTCTGATCGTCAACAAAGTCTACCCGCAACGTCCACCCCACAGAGGACTACCGCGATCGACTCTACAACGAGGTCCTGAAGAAGAAGAAAGAGCAGCGTAGATCGCACAGGAGAAACTTAGAGATGCAGCAAACACAAGCAGTTGGGGCACCCGTGGGGCCAAGGGCCTGGGGTTAGAAGGATAAGGGGCTGGCGGTTTCAACCTGTAAAGAATTGCTTCATCCAATCAAACCATTGGGTGGCTCAACCACCGGGGGGTGATCAGGTCTATGTGGGTTGAGGCCTCCGTTTACGATGGCTAAGTTGACACAAATAACTAGATTTTACTATACTTCATGGATCTGACATGGTGAATTCTCTAGGCTTTCTGGGGCATAGAACTAGATAGAACTATAATATATATATATTACATATATTACATATATTACATATATTACATATATATATAACTATATCATCATGGGCTTTACGGCTTTACCAACAGCCCCACATCTCCGAGGGCACCGTGCAGACCCACCTCAGCGCTGGTCAAACTGCCCGGAACCTTGAGGGGGACGATCCAGTGGCTCGGGGGTTAGTTATGATCATGGGGATAATGCGTAAAAACTATAGATAGATATCCCAAATGGACTAAAGATATATTGGGATAATGTTATATTTTGGGATATACCTGTTATTAATTGGGATAATGTTTTAACTATATGACTATATAACTATATAACTATATCATGGTTATAGATATAACTAATGCCATGCATATATGTGATATTGGGATAATGTGTTCATAGCTATAATATGGTTGATGTGTTATATGTTATAGATATAACTCATGGGAGCCATGGGCACATGGCAATATCATGGGCATATGACAGGTTGACCTCCACTCGCCGATGCCGCAGGTTCCACAGCAGTACCAGGCGGCAGGTGCACAGGTGCGAAGCTGTTGGGTTGTGGTGAAGCCTGGCCAAAAACCATCCCTAGAAGAAGAAATTTTGGTGGGTATAAAAGGGTATAAACTATCCCCAAATGCCAACATTAGTGACTTATAGTGGCTTAGTGATGGTAGTATGATTCATGGTATTTTGTGGGATATTTTGCAGGATTTCACCAACTTCAATGATTTTTGTGGGTGTGTCTGAATGTGGGGTACATCCATGTATATCCCCCAATTTATGGCCTTTTGAATAGGGATGATGCTATTTTATCAATGGATGGAATGGGTTACACTATTCTCAGACAAACCCAAATTGCACCGTGAAAGAATGGCTTACTTGACATAGCAGGTGGAGGATTGAAAACCAAGGATTTCTTGGACTTCCGAGATTGGAGAAGTGGTCAAGTGGGATATGTGACCAAATTCTCCAGAGTGAATCCAAGTGAGATACCCTGTGGTAAACTAACATAACTGGAAAATCACCATTTTTAATGGGAAAATCAACTATAAATGGCCATTTTCAATAGCTATGTTTGTTTACCAGAAGGTCATTGGGAAGAATCCGTGGTAAGATCAATGTAGACGCTACGCGCCATGAAAATTCTCCCAGTCGCGCTGCCGTATGACCTGGCACTGCTGAATCTTAGGATGTTCAGCTGCTGTATCTGTGGTTTCCTCAGCCAATAGTCAATAGTCAGCAGCTGATCGCATGCACCTCTGTGTTGGTAAGTCTCCGTTCTTGTGTGCTGATTACATGCCGATTTCTGCTCAAATCGAATCCCGGTTTTTGATTCGTGAAATTTCTTGGTTAAGTTCCAATTTTCTGAAGGTTATGTCCCAATATCTGTTGGTAAAATCCCACCATTTTGCTGGTTTACTTCAACAAAATCGACCTTTCGGTGGGATAAAGTCCCAAGTTTTCTTGGTCAAGTCCCCCATGTTTCATGGTCAAAATCCACCACTGAACCATGCAAAAGGTGGCCCCGGGCGGCGCGTTGGGAGCTGAGAGTTTTTCCGGGAGTGCAATGATGGAAGTGATCCCCAAAAAGATAGGTTACAATAAGTAAAATCACTGGGAATGTACATTTTAATATATATATATAATTTTTAATAATCATATAAATCACTAAGTCATTTCATAAACAAACATTGTATATATATATATAGAGCTTGTTTGACATTAATGTGAATGTTACATCACTAGAAAACGCTCTATAGTAAATCCCATTTAACATTTATGAATGGTGATGAGTGACTATCATTTTTCTTCATGGTAGGATAATTTCACTTTTCGATCTTTTTGGGGATAACTATATATGTATGTATCACTAAATACTTACATTATGTATAGTATAATACATGTATAGTCAATAGTATTAGTTTGGGTGATATATGTATGTAGCAACCCCTCAAGGATAGAAAAGTAATTCATCAATGGTTTAGTATGGATTGACTTTTGGATGTTTTTTTTTGGTGTATATACATATATACGTATATATACACACATACAGTGATATCCTATGGGGGAGAATTTCATGATGCCCATCGAACGGCTCCCGGCTGGAGAGGGCCTTTTTGTGCCGGATGCTGGTGATTGCCACCCAAATGGATGACTTCCGGGGGTTTCCTGCAGATTTCCCCCACGAAGAGTGGAGATTCTCATCAAAAGTATTGGACATTTACAACCAGATGGTGGGTTACAGGGGATGTTTTTGGTGCTGCTTCTATAGGGGGGTATCGGCTGCACCCAAAAAAACAGGTTGATGCAATCTGACGCCAATCATTGGGATGGAGAAACATACGTACGGCATATCATGGATGTAGCTCCCCATTTTGCGAAATCTCGCTTAACAAAACTGGTGACAAAAGAAGCCCCTGGTAATCAAACATGGCAATTAAAAATCCTCCAGTTATAGTTGATTTTCCCATTGGAAGCTTCGTTTGTTGGGGATTGTCCAGGTAGCAACGTCTTTTTGTGACACCGCAGGGTAACCATCAAACATGGTTGATTTTGGTTATACAATGGTAGTTAAGCTTAATCAGCCCATTCATTTTCCCGTTGTTAGTTATATCTAAATTTAATCATTAATGGATATGACAGCTAATAGGGATAATCATTAGTTATATCCCAAGAGTGAATTAAGGTCAATTAGACCATTATCACTTGTCAAACTAACATGGCTATGGACAATCAACATTCAAACAGATAAATCATCGAACGGAATGGATCATGGTTTTCGTAGCTATGTTAGTGTACTGGAGGGCATTAGTTATATATCCCATGATTTTCCCATTAAATTAAATGTCATTAAATCACAATTTTTAAATCTCATCAAATCCCATGAAATCTCATTAAATCCCACTAAGTGTCCATTAAGTCCCATTCTATCTCCATTAAATACCATTAATCCCATTAAATCCCATTAAATCACCATTAAATCACCATCAAATCACCATTAAATCCCACTAAGTGTCCATTAAGTCCCATTCTATCTCCATTAAATCCCATTAATCCCATTAAATCCCATTAAATCCCATTAAATCACGTGTCCATTAAGTCCCATTCTATCTCCATTAAATCCCATTAATCCCATTAAATCCCATTAAATCACCATTAAATCACCATTAAATCGCCATTAAATCCCACTAAGTGTCCATTCAGTCCCATTCTATCTCCATTAAGTCCCATTAATCCCATTTAATCCCATTGAATCACCATTAAATCACCATTAAATCCCACTAAGTGTCCATTAAGTCCCATTCTATCTCCATTAAGTCCCATTAATCCCATTTAATCCCATTGAATCACCATTAAATCACCATTGAATCCCACTAAGTGTCCATTAAGTCCCATTCTATCCTCATTAAATCCCATTATATAAACTTTAGATTTCTACTTTCCCAAGCGGCACCCAACACATCCGAGTCTCTAAGGCCCATGGCTCATGCTGGGGACCGGCAAACCCAGCAACCGGTGGTGTGGGTTTTTGTGACAGTCAAACCAGTGCTATGATATACTGCACATATATATAAATATATACATATGTATATACACATATGTATATACACGTATATATGTATATATGTATATGTATACGTATGTATATGTATACGTATGTATATGTATACGTATGTATATGTATACGTATGTATGTATGTATGTATGTAATGTAATGTAATGTAATGTAATGTAATGTAATGTATGTATGTATGTATGTATGTATGTATGTATGTATGTATGTGTACGTATGTATGTATGTATGTATGTATGGTCAATGTATGTCTGTCCTGTCGTGTAGTAATGTATGTCTGTATGTAATGTACTGTCTGTATGTCCTGTCTGTCTGTCTGTCATGTCTGGTATGTCGGTCTTCCTGTGATGTATGTCTGTCTGTCCTGTCTATCTGTCCTGTCTGTCTGTCTGTCTGTATGTATGTCTGTATGTATGTGTTCTGTATGTATGTTTGTCTGTGTCTTTCGTCTGTCTTGTCTGTCTGGGTCGTCTGTCTGTCTTGTCCTGTCTGTCTGTCTGTCCTGTCTCTGTCTGTCTGTCTGTCTGTCTGTCTGTCTGTATGTCTGTATGTCTGTCTGTCTATGTGTCTATGTCTGTCTGGTCTGTCCTGTCTGTGTCCCTGTATGTATGTCTCTCTCTGTCTGTCTCTTCTGTCTGTTATGTATGTATGTATGTATGTATGTATGTATGTATGTATGTATGTATGTATACATATGTATATACACACTTTAATTTGCACATATATATATATATACACATGCGTATTTTTCTCTAGTAATTTAAGCTGGCAATGGAAACTTGCCAACTTGCTGATTTTTGTAGATTATCATCCCATAATTCCATTAACCGTAATGCTGTTCCATTACCATGTTATATCAGAGGGAAATATGCATCTAGACCAGTACTTTTGCCTATTGAAACCACATTTCTTTCGGTATTTGCGTCAAGGTTTGGTACCCTAAAATTGGATCGTTAATCCCAATGACCACGTTCCCTGCAGCGCTGAATCTGAGCCATACCCGATTACCCGATTGGGGCTATGGAGGTGGCCGCTTTTTTTAAACATCAAGTGGTCTTTCCTTCAAACCGAGGGTTCGATGGGTGAGGGGAATCACGCACACACACACACACCATTCTTTGGCAAACCGCAGCTGCAACTGACACGCTATATTCTGTGATGGGACACCGCAACATCCTTCTCTTTACATATCTTTTGCCGCTTGGGTGCTCGAGTTTCGATACCGTATCCATATTTCGGCCATGGGGGATTTGGCCAAATGTCTAACCTTGAGGAGGTCGTCCTTCTCCAAGTGAACTGGCAACTGAACGCAACCAATGTGCGCAACGGGACCAGCTTTGCGGCACTCCAGCTGGGGCAGACCTTGTGGCTTTCATCAGAAATTGGTGCGGAACTGGCCAAGGCCTTGGTGATTTGCAGTTTTTCCGCTCTGGCACTGCTGTTTGCGTATTGTTTGATTCGCGGCCTTCCGCAGAAAGCCTTGCAAGATCCCAAGGTCAAGGAGGGATGTCCTGGCAGCTGGGTGGTTTACATGGGATTGGTCTACGCCTTTCTTTTCTTCAGTACGGATCAATACTTGGCCAGTCTGCCCCAGATGGGCCTTGATTTGGGCGGTTCCCAGTGGATCATGAGCGCTTCAATTCAATCGGTCTTTGCGATCAAAGGCGTTGTTGGGATCGGCACCGCCGCACTCTCAGATCGCATGGGTCGGAGGCCTGTTTCTGAGATGACAAGTTGGAGCAATACTTTGATACATTTTGATACTTTGATACTTTGCGGTTAAGAAAGGGTAAATTTTTCTGGAAAAAACCATGGGATATCAAATGGGCGATTTAGCCAACAATACATTACAAACATGGCTTACTGCAATCCCAAAAAGGGATGTGTACGATTTACTTCCCATGTATGGTCATTCCAAAAAGGAAACATGATTTCCTCTAGCATCCCACATGTAGCGACTTATACCATTTGGTAATGTGGTAATTTAACAGACCCTTTGGTTATTTAGCGTAGCGAACGGGAAAATCACCATTTTCAATAGGTACATCATAAATCATCGGCCATTTTCCATAACACTGTCAAATAACTACCCTCTGGTAATTTAACATAGCTATTGAAAATGGTGATTTATAGTGGATTTTCCCATTAAAAAGGCGATTTTCCATTGCTATGTTAGTTTACCAGAGGGTAGAGGGTAGCTATGGACAATGACCATCTTGGAATGTGTTCCTATTCTCCATAGCTGCCATCATGTCAACTACAGAGGATCCTCCAGACGATTGTCACAATCGGTAGTACATCACTGGGGGGTTTACAGTACCCCACTCGGTAATGATGGGATGATTCTTGATTGATGATAAGCAAGACAATATATATATATATATATTGGATTTTATTGGTAGATGTTTATTTGGTCGCTCGAATCCCCACAACCTTGCTGGTAACAGCACCGTTTCTGTCGGTGATTTCATGTGATTTCCAAGTTCGATACTAACGATACCACAACAGAATCGAAACAAGTCCAGACCTAATATTGGTAATTCTATATAGACATACATACATTTATAATCATTTATATACGTATATGCCCATGTTGAGCCATGTTGAGCCATGTTGAGGTCTTGTTGCTGTGCAGCTTCTTGTTAAGCCTGGCCAGCTTCTGCTGCGGCTGCGCGGGTCACGTGGAGTGGTTCCTGGCTGCCCGCGTGTTGCAAGCCTTGGGCATGGCCGTGGAGCCAATGGTCTGGGCCATGACCAGGGACTACTTTGAGAACCCCGAGGCATCCGGTGCTAGATAGGGTTGAAGCAAATAGAATCAGTGGGATACACAAAAGACATATACAGTACATTTTAAGGGGCTCCGCACCCTGCCGCCGACCCCTGGCCATCGGGGCTGGAAGCTTGAAATGATTTTTTGTCAACAAAACAATAGGAATTTGGGCCGCAGTGACTGGCTCAGTAACCAACCTGCGATTTCAAGCCCCAGTGTTTCAAGGCATTGAAAGGAGAACTGAGCGCTTGGAGATTCATATGATGAATTGATATTGCCTGCAGTGGACGACATGGTTTCCAGGACTCCTTCACATCAATGTGGTAGTTTCATCAACACGCACATGTTGTGCTTCACATTTGCGCGTATTCAAACAGAACCAGCCGTTTTTTCCCAAATTATTTTCTGGGCTAGTTTGTCAAACCGTCAGCAGTCATGAAACAATCAACAAGTTGCAGTGGCCCCGTGCTAGCGCTGAAACTGGCCATGGCGGCGTGCAAGACATCAGAGGAAGTTGTGCAGTGGCTCGGCATGCATCTGTCTTTGGAATGGCTCTTGTGGTTAGAACTGCCAAAGGTCACCTTCCGAAGTGATTAGAAACTAGCTCCAAACCTTCAATTTGCTTGCCTTCCTGCACTGCCAGCTTCCAGCTTGCTTGCGTCCTCTTGCAGCTGGCTTTCGTCCTGCACAGCTCCGGTCAAGGACCCTCCCCAAGGCCAAAACACCATGGCAGTCCTTCCTCTTGCCTCTTGCCCCTCTTGTCCCCTCTTCTCTGATGCGCTCCCCCTGCTGTCGGCAGGGATCGGCGGATAGATAGATAGATAGATAGATAGATAGATAGATAGATAGATAGATAGATAGATAGATAGATAGATAGATAGATAGATAGATAGATAGATAGATAGATAGATAGATAGATAGATAGATATATTAGATAGATAGATAGATAGATAGATAGATAGATAGATAGATAGATAGATAGATAGATAGATAGATAGATAGATAGATAGATAGATAGATATAATGATATACATTTATATATGCATATATTTAAATACATATCTATATATATATACATAATTATACATACACATGTATACATATATTTATATATATATATACATAGATATATATTTCCATAAATACATATTTAAATATACATAAAAATATACATAAAATATACATATGGTTACATATATCTACATCTACATAGATATATAAGTATATACATATATGCAAATATATTTATATACATACAAAATACAAAATACATATGCATATATATAATATATATATGTTTACATTCACACACACATATATATATATACATATACGCAACATATATATATATACATAAATATTTAAACACATATATATTTGCATATATATATATATTTGCATATATATATATACATATATACATATATATATACATATATATATATTTACATATATATATATGCATTTTTAAATATATACATTGACAGATATTTTTTTAAATATACATACATATTTACATATACATATATACATGCATATATTTTTTTTTACATTTAAATGTGTATGTACATAAAAATAAATACAAATATATTTACAAATAATTATACACGCATTTGTATTTACATATACATATGTATATATATATACACATAAAAATATGTACATATATATATGCATATATATATAAACGCACATTTACATATACATACATGTATATACGCATAAATACATTTAAACACACATATGTACATACCTATATATAAATACACGTCCATACACATAAAATTACATTTATAAATACATATATATATATATGTATTTACATGTGCAAATATAAATATATATACACATACATACATATATATTGATATTTACATGTATATATATACATTTATTTACATTGATACAGATGTTTTTTACATATACATATACATATATACATATATACATAGATACATATATACATATATACATATATTCGTATATACTTATATACATATATTCATATATACATATATACATATATATAAATATATACGTATATACGTATATACGTATTTACATATATACACATATACATATATACATATATAGGTATATACATATATACATATTTACATATATAGATATCATATATACACATATACGGATACAAATAAATGAATAAATACACAAACATATATATATATATAGATATACATACATATATAATGGTTTAATGGGTGTAAGCATGTCTAATGGTTCAAGGCCCCTGGGTCACTTTGGGATTGGATTTGTTTGGGGACATAAACGCTGTGAATGGAACAAAGGTTGGCTGGGAGATAACCGATGAGATAGTCGTATGGAATATAGCATGGGATATGGAAGCAACAACATATGATAACAATTGTATACTCTATATATTTGTATATATATATGTATGACTTGGGGATTGGGTGGGAGATCATCAAATACAATGGGGATAGAACCGTTTTGAAAATTTTCATGGGGTGAATGAGAATGGGATATACCGTGGATTGCCTTGGGGATCGGTCAAAAAGCAGCAAAAAATGGGGCAAAGGGATATTTATTGGCTATTCGTGTGGATTAATTGAATGAACATGTGGATCAAAGGGATAGTTATTTCATGTGGTTTTTCATAAAATTTATATGAAATCACTATGGATTTTGGGGATTTTAGGGGGTTTCACCCATCGATCTTGATGCTCAGCAGCCCCTGAGGTGCTCCTATGATCTGGATTATGGTTTCAGTTAATGGGATATCAATGGGAAACAATGGGAGATATAACCATGTAAATGAAGGATTGACATTGGGATTGGGTAGATTGGGATCGGAGTCCATGAACAAGTAGGATTTAGGGTTTAAACTATCATTCGGTGATAAACGCATATGATTGTCAACATGTATATCAATAACAACGCAGGAATTGGTTGGGAGGTGGGGAAATTTCAAGGGAAACTTGCAGGAACAAGTGGTGGGATCTACTCTACGAACTGGGAGAAATGGGGAAACCTGAGTTTACCTGTGGCAGTTCTTGATGTTTGCGGATCAAAACTTGATGCATACAACTGGGGATTGGTGGTATATATATATATGGAATACGTGGGAAATAACCATATGAACTATCTCAATTATATACACTTGTATATGGGATATCCCCAGTGGAGTCATGGGTTATGTATATTGGCTTATGAACCACTCAGTAACTGGCATGCAGCCCAAGAAGGGGCTCTCTTGGATCAAGGGAATCAGAATATTAAATCCTATTCTCAAAGGCCAAAAATTCATGGGGATTTCGCACTGCAACTGGCCATGATGGATGCTGCTGGATTTCTGGCTTTTCGCGGACAGTTGACTCACCCTCATAAAGATTGATGCGGGTCCCCAAACCTACCATTTTTGCCAGTTGACCATGCCAGTTGCACCTTCCAGTGCCAGTAGCGGCTGGTGATCGTGACTGCCTTGATGATCATGAACCTCATGGGCGCTTCTGTGGCTCCAATGGTGGGCAACGTCTTGACCGAGCTGTTTGGGACTTGGCGCGGCTCGTTCTTCGTGGTGGCAGTCATCTGGGCTGTTTTGACACTCTATGCTTGGATGGACATGAAGGAAAGCTGTCCAGATGTGGAGGGGAGAACTCAGGAGAATTTCCTACGAATTTTGGAACCGCATTCCATTTGCCTTCTGTTAGGCCAGGGCTGTTTCGTTGCAGCTTACATGACATTTATTGGCAATATCAGTTATTTGGCGGAGACGACTTTTGGCCTATCCCCCAGGGCTTCCTCGGCAATCATGCTGGTGTACCCAGCCTGCACCGTTCTGGGCCTGGTTCTGATGAATTGGTCACATTTCAGCAGTGTCCAAATTGCAAGGGTCACAGTGGCGCTATTCACCTTCATTGGTCTTGTTTCTTTTGTGTTGGCGAGCTACTTCTCAGATTTCTTGTGGTCGTACTTGGTGGGATCCTTTTCCCAAGCCACAGTGCAAACTGTCGGAGTGGTCTCTCTGAATGTGCTATTCTTTGCACCACTTGAAGATTGTGCTGGCATTGCTGCGGCATATGACATGATTCTGGGTGGCACCTATAGTCGTGCCCCTTTTGGATGACTGACTGGCTACAGTCTATAGGTACATGTATGAATGCGTAGCCATACATCCATACATCCACAAGAACTGGGACCTTTAAACCACTTTTTGGCATCCCTTTCTTTGCCGTGTTTTTTTTTTTTCGACAAAACCAGCCAGTTGGTGTCAGGATAGCGAGGAGTATCATCCCCAGTGTCTTCTCGCTGATTTCCACCCAGGCATTGATACATTTTGGGGCCAAAGGCTTGAGTCAGTTCCAGGCTTCCACTTGTCTGGCTGCAGGAGCCGTCTTTTCTTACTATGCAATCTCACCTCCAAGCCAGGACCGGGCGGTTGGGATGTGGTAAAGATTTTTCAAATTGGAAGACTTCCAGAAGCATCCGAAACAGGGTTTTAAGATTGGAAGGCGTTGGGATGTGGTGACCCCTTCAGGAAGAATCTGAAAAAGCCCACGAGTCAAATTGCGACAGCTGAGACAGCGCACAAATGAGCGGAAAATGGCCGCACTCTGCGTGTGGGCGATATGATTCGGATATGATTCGGAGATGATTTGGATATAATATACACATGATATATTGTAGAGCTTCGCACACCGGCGACGCCGGTAGGGGTCGGGGGAGGGAAAGAGAGAGGGGGATGTCATCTGAACTTGCGAACATGACATGCTGAGGGTCGGCGGCCTATCTTGGGGCTATGTTGGCCCAGCTTGGGGCTATGTTGGCCCATCTTGAGGCTATGTTGGCCTATGCCTATCCGCACAAAGTGTTGTAATTTACAGCATTTTGCGCTTTGAGATGGCAAGAACCCGTGTAAATACAACAGTTTTAGTCCCCGAAAGTGGCTAAAACATTCTTATTTACAGAGTTTCGTTCACATCACGATTTTTGAAAAACGTGCAAATACCAGCGTTTGTTGCATGCAGCAAGAATAAAATCGGTTCAAAAAGTGCAAAAAATGCTGTAATTTACAGGGGAGTGGCCCCGTCACAAGCAAAAAACTGCGTAAATACCAGCGTTTCGGCGTCCAAAAGTTGCCAAAACACCGCTATTTACAGTGTTTCGTGCCTTCCACGTTTGCTTGAAATTGCAGAAACATTGTAAATACCAACATTTTTTGCGATCAACCCGCCAAAAATGCTGTAATTTACAGTGTTTTTTTGCTTGGCTTTCAAAAACACTGGTATTTGCAGTGTTTTGTGCATCTCGGGTCCAAAAAGTACTAGTATTTACAGCATTTTCTGCGTTTGTGCATGGCTCCCGCCAACGACGTTAAAACGCAAAAATGTTGTAATTTACAGCATTTTGTGACTTCCGAAAAGCGAAAAATCGTCCGAAAAATGTGTCAAAACGGCTTTTTTTTCCGATTTTAGGACCTCCAAAACGCATCTTGAAATTTCACCCTCTTTTTGTCCACCCCAGACCCCGAAAAACGTGAAAACCCCACCAGGCTGAAGGATTTTCGGGGAGGGTCGGCAGAGGGTCGGCGGCAGGGGCGCGCCCCCGGGTAGCTAAAGCTATGCTTAGCCACCACCACCGGACGGCATCGCCGGATTTAAGGGCTGCCGCCCCTGCCGCCGACCCCGGTAAAGAATCGGGGATTGTTGGTGAAACAGGCAAGCTGTGTGACGAGAAATTTTGGCAAATGCATCATCACATGCAGGATCATTTTTCCCAACCTTTTCCGCTTGTTCAACATTCAATAGAAGCCCATCAGCCCACCTGCTGCTGCTGCTGTTGTTGTTGCTAACAGAAGAGTAGCAAGAGCACCTCCTGACACCAAAACAGCAAGGCACGGAAGGACGAACAGGCCCTAGAATCGCACCGAAAAAGTGCCTAACGTCCCTTGTGAATGCCTTGGAAAAATGTTTTTTTCCCAACCTTTTCCGCTTTTTCAATCTCCCATCAGCTAGCTCACCTGCTGCTGCTGCTGCTGCTGCTGTTGCTGCTGCTAACAGAAGAGTCGCAAGCGCACCTCCCGGCACCAAAACAGCAAGGCACGAAAGGACGAACAGGCCCTAGAATCGCACCGAAAAAATGCCTAACGTCCCTTCTGAATGCCTAGAAAAAATGTTTTTTTTCCAACCTTTTCCGTTTTTTCAATCTCATCAGTGCTGCTGCTGCTGCTGTTGCTGCTGCTAACAGAAGAGTAGCAAGAGCACCTCCCGGCACCAAAACAGCAAGGCACGGAAGGACGAACAGGCCCTAGAATCGCACCGAAAAACTGCCTAACGTCCCTTCTAACTTCCTAGAAAAAATGTCTCTGTTTCTTTTTCCCAACCTTTTCCGCTTTTTCAATCTCCACTGCTGCTGCTGCTGCTGCTGCTGTTGCCGCTAGCAAAAGCGCCAAAAACTGCCTAACGTCCCTTCTGAATTCCTAGAAAAAATGTCTTTTTTCCAACCTTTTCCGCTTTTTCAATCTCCCATCAGCTAGCTCACCTGCTGCTGCTGCTGCTGTTGCTGCTGCTAACAGAAGAGTCGCAAGAGCTCCCGGCACCAAAACAGCAAGGCACGGAAGGACGAACAGGCCCTAGAATCGCACCGAAAAACTGCCTAACGTCCCTTCTGAATTCCTAGAAAAAATGTCTTTTTTCCAACCTTTTCCGCTTTTTGAATCTCCCATCAGCTAGCTCACCTGCTGCTGCTGCTGCCAACCTTTTCCGCTTGTTCAACATTCAATAGAAGCCCATCAGCCCACCTGCTGCTGCTGCTGCTGTTGTTACTGCTAACAGAAGAGTCGCAAGAGCACCTCCTGGCACCAAAACTGCAAGGCACGGAAGGACGAACAGGCCCTAGAATCGCACCGAAAAACTGCCTAACGTCCCTTCTGAATTCCTAGGAAAAATGTCTTTTTTCCAACCTTTTCCGCTTTTTGAATCTCCCATCAGCTAGCTCACCTGCTGCTGCTGCTGCTGTTGCTGCTGCTAACAGAAGAGACGCAAGAGCAGCTCCCGGCACCAAAACAGCAAGGCACGGAAGGACGAACAGGCCCTAGAATCGCACCGAAAAACTGCCTAACGTCCCTTCTGAATTCCTAGAAAAAATGTCTTTTTCCCAACCTTGTCCGCTTTTTCAATCTCCCATCAGCTCACCTGCTGCTGCTGCTGCTGCTAACAGAAGAGTAGCAAGAGCACCTCCCGGCACCAAAACTGCAAGGCACGGAAGGACGAACAGGCCCTAGAATCGCACCGAAAAACTGCCTAACGTCCCTTCTGAATTCCTAGAAAAAATGTCTTTTTTCCAACCTTTTCCGCTTTTTGAATCTCCCATCAGCTAGCTCACCTGCTGCTGCTGCTGCTGTTGCTGCTGCTAACAGAAGAGTCGCAAGAGCAGCTCCCGGCACCAAAACAGAAAGGCACGGAAGGACGAACAGGCCCTAGAATCGCACCGAAAAACTGCCTAACGTCCCTTCTGAATTCCTAGAAAAAATGTCTTTTTCCCAACCTTTTCCGCTTTTTCAACTTCCCATCAGCTCAGCTCACCTGCTGCTGCTGCTGCTAACAGAAGAGTAGCAAGAGCACCTCCCGGCACCAAAACAGCAAGGCACGGAAGGACGAACAGGCCCTAGAATCGCACCGAAAAACTGCCTAACGTCCCTTGTGAATTCTTAGAAAAAATGTCTTTTTTCCAACCTTTTCCGCTTTTTGAATCTCCCATCAGCTAGCTCAGCTGCTGCTACTGCTGCTGTTGCTGCTGCTAACAGAAGAGTCGCAAGAGCAGCTCCCGGCACCAAAACAGCAAGGCACGGAAGGACGAACAGGCCCTAGAATCGCACGGAAAAACTGCCTAACGTCCCTTCTGAATTCCTAGAAAAAATGTCTTTTTTCCAACCTTTTCCGCTTTTTGAATCTCCCATCAGCTAGCTCACCTGCTGCTGCTGCTGTTGCTGCTGCTAACAGAAGAGTCGCAAGAGCAGCTCCCGGCACCAAACCAGCAAGGCACGGAAGGACGAACAGGCCCTAGAATCGCACCGAAAAACTGCCTAACGTCCCTTCTGAATTCCTAGAAAAAATGTCTTTTTTCCAACCTTTTCCGCTTTTTGAATCTCCCATCAGCTAGCTCACCTGCTGCTGCTGCTGCTGTTGCTGCTGCTAACAGAAGAGTCGCAAGAGCACCTCCCGGCACCAAAACAGCAAGGCACGGAAGGACGAACAGGCCCTAGAATCGCACGGAAAAACTGCCTAACGTCCCTTCTGAATTCCTAGAAAAAATGCACGGAAGGACGAACAAGCCACAGAATCGCACCGAAAAACTGCCTAACGTCCCTTCTGACTTCCTAGATAAAATGTCCACCTTTTCCGCTTTTTCAATCTCCACCTGCTGCTGCTGCTGCTGCTGTTGCTGCTAGCAAGAATTGTTGTTCACAACCTCTCTGCCCTGACGCGCTCCCCCTTGCGTCTGCCGGGGTCGGCGGATATTGACTGCTGGCTACTGGCTGGGTGCTGCTGTCTTATTCCCTAACGCGCTCCCCCTTGCGCAGCCGGGGTCGGCGGAAAATTAGATTTGCTCCTGTTGCTGCTGCTGCTCTTCCTCCCGAGGCTGAAAACGCAGCCTCCCGGACAGGGAAACACAGTGGCCCTGAAGGACGGAACAGCGCCAAAATCGAGCCCAAAAAGTCCCTAACGTCCCTTCTGAAACCTTAGAAAAACAATAGTTTTGGACAAGGTTGTATGGTTTTCGACCATTTTTTTTAAATACCACTGTTTGTACAATGAGACATACAACCCTCCTGTTGCTCCTGTTGCTGCTGCTGCTCTTCCTCCCGAGGCTGAAAACGCACCCTCCCGGACAGGGAAACACAGTGGCCCTGAAGGACGGAACAGCGCCAAAATCGAGCCCAAAAAGTCCCTAACGTCCCTTCTGAAACCCTAGAAAAACAATAGTTTTGGACAAGGTTGTATGGTTTTCGACCAATTTTTTTTTATATTTTTTTTAAATACCACTGTTTGTACAATGAGACATACAACCCTCCTGTTGCTCCTGTTGCTGCTGCTGCTCTTCCTCCCGAGGCTGAAAACGCACCCTCCCGGACAGGGAAACACAGTGGCCCTGAAGGACAGAACAGCGCCAAAATCGAGCCCAAAAAGTCCCTAACGTCCCTTCTGAAACCCTAGAAAAACAATAAAACAATAGTTTTGGACAAGGTTTTATGGTTTTCGACCAATTTTTATATCACTGTTTGTACAATGAGACATACAACCCTCCTGTTGCTCCTGTTGCTGCTGCTGCTCTGCCTCCCGAGGCTGAAAACGCATCCTCCCGGACAGGGAAACACAGTGGCCCTGAAGGACGGAACAGCGCCAAAATCGAGCCCAAAAAGTCCCTAACGTCCCTTCTGAAACCCTAGAAAAACAATAGTTTTGGACAAGGTTGTATGGTTTTCGACAATTTTTATACCACTGTTTGTACAATGAGATATACAACCCTCCTGTTGCTCCTGTTGCTGCTGCTGCTCTTCCTCCCGAGGCTGAAAACGCATCCTCCCGGACAGGGAAACACAGTGGCCCTGAAGGACGGAACAGCGCCAAAATCGAGCCCAAAAAGTCCTTAACGTCCCTTCTGAAACCCTAGAAAAACAATAGTTTTGGACAAGGTTTTATGGTTTTCGACCAATTTTTATACCACTGTTTGTACAATGAGACATACAAACCCTCCTGTTGCTCCTGTTGCTGCTGCTGCTCTTCCTCCCGAGGCTGAAAATGCACCCTCCCGGACAGGGAAAGAGGCTGAAAACGCACCCTCCCGGACAGGGAAACACAGTGGCCCTAAAGGACGGAACAGCGCCAAAATCGAGCCCAAAAAGTCCCTAACGTCCCTTCTGAAACCCTAGAAAAACAATAGTTTTGGACAAGGTTTTATGGTTTTCGGCCAATTTTTATACCACTGTTTGTACAATGAGACATACAACCCTCCTGTTGCTCCTGTTGCTGCTGCTGCTCTTCCTCCCGAGGCTGAAAATGCACCCTCCCGGACAGGGAAAGAGGCTGAAAACGTAGCCTCCCGGACAGGGAAACACAGTGGCCCTGAAGGACGGAACAGCGCCAAAATCGAGCCCAAAAAGTCCCTAATTTGCTTTCTGAAACCCTAGAAAAACAATAGTTTTGGACAAGGTTTTATGGTTTTCGACCAATTTTTATACCACTGTTTGTACAATGAGACATACAACCCTCCTTTTGCTCCTGTTGCTGCTGCTGCTCTTCCTCCCGAGGCTGAAAACGCATCCTCCCGGACAGGGAAACACAGTGGCCCTGAAGGACGGAACAGCGCCAAAATCGAGCCCAAAAAGTCCCTAACGTCCCTTCTGAAACCCTAGAAAAACAATAGTAGTTTTGGACAAGGTTTAATGGTTTTCGACAAATTTTTATACCACTGTTTGTACAATGAGACATACAACCCTCCTGTTTTGGACAAGGTTGTATGGTTTTCGACCATTTTTTTTTTATTTTTTTTAAATACCACTGTTTGTACAATGAGACATACAAACGTCCCGTTGCTCCTGTTGCTGCTGCTGCTCTTCCTCCCGACGCTGAAAACGCACCCTCCCGGACAGGGAAACACAGTGGCCCTGAAGGACGGAACAGTGCCAAAATCGAGCCCAAAAAGTCCCTAACGTCCCTTCTGAAACCCTAGAAAAACAATAGTTTTGGACAAGGTTTTATGGTTTTCGACCAATTTTTATTTTTATATCACTGTTTGTACAATGAGACATACAACCCTCCTGCTGCTCCTGTTGCTGCTGCTGCTCTTCCTCCCGAGGCTGAAAACGCATCCTCCCGGACAGGGAAACACAGTGGCCCTGAAGGACGGAACAGCGCCAAAATCGAGCCCAAAAAGTCCTTAACGTCCCTTCTGAAACCTTAGAAAAACAATAGTTTTGGACAAGGTTGTATGGTTTTCGACCAATTTTTTTTTTTTTTAATACCACTGTTTGTACAATGAGACATACAACGCTCCTGTTGCTCCTGTTGCTGCTGCTGCTCTTCCTCCCCCTCCCGGACAGGCAAACACACTGGCCCTGAAGGACGGAACAGCGCCAAAATCGAGCCTAAAAAGTCCCTAACGTCCCTTCTGAAACCCTAGAAAAACAATAGTTTTGGACAAGGTTTTATGGTTTTCGACAAATTTTTATACCACTGTTTGTACAATGAGACATAGAACCCTCCTGTTGCTCCTGTTGCTGCTGCTGCTCTTCCTCCCGAGGCTGAAAACGCACCCTCCCGGACAGGGAAACACAGTGGCCCTGAAGGACGGAACAGCACCAAAATCGAGCCCAAAAAGTCCCTAACGTCCCTTCTGAAACCCTAGAAAAACAATAGTTTTGGACAAGGTTGTATGGTTTTCGACCATTTTTTTTTTTTTAATACCACTGTTTGTACAATGAGACATACAACCCTCTTCCTCCCGAGGCTGAAAACGCACCTTCCCGGACAGGGAAACACAGTGGCCCTGAAGGACGGAACAGCGCCAAAATCGAGCCCAAAAAGTCCCTAACGTCCCTTCTGAAACCCTAGAAAAACAATAGTTTTGGACAAGGTTTTATGGTTTTCGACCTATTTTTATTATACCACTGTTTCGACCAATTTTTATACCACTGTTTGTACAATGAGACATAGAACCCTCCTGTTGCTCCTGTTGCTGCCGCTGCTCTTCCTCCCGAGGCTGAAAACGCACCCTCCCGGACAGGGAAACACAGTGGCCCTGAAGGACGGAACAGCGCCAAAATCGAACCCAAAAAGTCCCTAACGTCCCTTCGGAAACCCTAGAAAAACAATAGTTTTGGACAAGGTTTTATGGTTTTCGACAAATTTTTATACCACTGTTTGTACAATGAGACATAGAACCCTCCTGTTGCTCCTGTTGCTGCTGCTGCTCTTCCTCCCGAGGCTGAAAACGCACCCTCCCGGACAGGGAAACACAGTGGCCCTGAAGGACGCAACAGCGCCAAAATCGAGCCCAAAAAGTCCCTAACGTCCCTTCTGACCCTCCTGTTGCTCCTGTTGCTGCTGCTGCTCTTCCTCCCGAGGCTGAAAACGCACCCTCCCGGACAGGGAAACACAGTGGCCCTGAAGGACGGAACAGCGCCAAAATCGAGCCCAAAAAGTCCCTAACGTCCCTTCTGAAACCCTAGAAAAACAATATTTTTATACCACGGTTTGTACAATGAGACATACAACCCTCCTGTTGCTCCTGTTGGTGCCGCTGCTCTTCCTCCCGAGGATGAAAACGCACCCTCCCGGACAGGGAAACACAGTGGCCCTGAAGGACGGAACAGCGCCAAAATCAAGCCCAAAAAGTCCCTAACGTCCCTTCTGAAATCCTAGAAAAACACAATTTTTCGAGAGATTCTATCGCCTGAAGGTGTTCGAGATCTCGCACAAAGTTACCATCGAACTTGAACCTCGAGGATGCGGCCTCGAACGAACAGATCAGGGCGGGAAGGGCAACCCAAGGAGCCCCACGTACCTCGAGGAGACTCCGGGAAGAACCCCCCACCGGTAAAACAAAAACCCCGGAGTCAATGAATCGACGTACGTGACCGGTGGGAGGGGGACCCAACAGGGTCCCCCGGCAAAGGGTCATTGTTCCCTTCTGAAACCCTAGAAAAACAATCGTTTTGGACAAGGTTTTATGGTTTTCGACCAATTTTTATACCACTGTTTGTACAATGAGACATACAACCCTCCTGTTGCTCCTGTTGCTGCTGCTGCTCTTCCTCCCGAGGCTGAAAATGCACCCTCCCGGACAGGGAAACACAGTGGCCCTGAAGGACGGAACAGCGCCAAAATCGAGCCCAAAAAGTCCCTAACGTCCCTTCTGAAACCCTAGAAAGACAATAGTTTTGAACAAGGTTTTATGGTTTTCGACCAATTTTTATACCACTGTTTGTACAATGAGACATACAACCCTCCTGTTGCTGCTCCTGCTCCTGTGACTCCTTCTGTTCAAAAGGCACCTGCCGGATGGGAAAACACCATGGCAGTAGTAGTAGTAGTAGTAGTAGTAGTCGTCCGAAACAAGAGTCAAAAGTATTATTCCCTGGCACGCTCCCCCTTGCGTCTGCCGGGGTCGGCGGATATTGACTGCTGGCTACTGGCTGGGTGCTGCTGTCTTATTCCCTAACGCGCTCCCCCTTGCGCAGCCGGGGTCGGCGGATATATATATGATATATATATATATGATTCTATCTAATGGTCTAATATTCATGTGCGGGATATGTCTAAATTCAGTGATTTTTTTTCACCGTTTCACCTGCTTCGTCGACTTCCCTGAGGCCCAGCGTACCTCCCATTCGGGGCGCCGTTCTTAGTCAGCGGAAACGTCGTGGTGAGACCTCCAGACAAAACGTGCCAAGGTCATGGAAAACCATGGAAAACCTCCGTTAAACCCGGGAATTTTGAGCATTCTATCCCTGGGACTGGGATGATCTCCAAATTCGTGTTGAAGCAACTCGAAATCATAGTAAATCCTCCGAGAAAATCGAAGAGTTTTCATGAAGATGGATGGTGATATAATTTACCAACAAGGATGTGAAAAGATTCGCAAGAGAAACTGAAGCAATGATGGACTGAACCGAGGGCCCCTCGACCAGCAGGGGCACCTCACCATCAGGCCCGCTTCGTAGCTACGAGGTGGTGGTCCGTAGTGGGTTTATATCTGACAACAACTGGCCTTTATAGTAGATATAATATAACTATGGAGGTTTCCTAAAATGGGGGTACCCCAAGCTTGCTGGATGGTTTAGAATGACACATCCTTTTTTCGTATGGATGAGAACTGGGGGTACCCCCATTTCAGGAAACCTCCTTGTAGACCTTCCCCCTCTGTTTGAAACTTACTTGCCTCAACTCTCGCGGAAGCAAAGAGGAAGGAGGAAGGCCTCACAAGAGCATAAAGAATCTCTGTTATGTAAATTGAAGGGGGGAAAAAAAGAAGTTGAAATAGATGTTGCTTGACAGTGAAACAAAATGAAACAAACATATTTTTTGGTCAGAAAAAATGTTAGTGTATCTGAGAAACACGGGGCGTATTGACCCAGAAATTACTTAGGCCTATATTGCCAGTCTTGATGAGGAGCTTAGATCAATCCTTGAACTGGGAATCCCTAAAGGCCACGCAGTACAAGTGAATCATTATCAATTTGCTGCATGATCTTGTTTGCAGGGCCGGGCACGTACCTGCACCAGTAGGATCACTATCCACATCTATCCACTAGAAATGATGGATTTTGCTTATGTCGTGCTATCTGAGTGAGATCTGGAAATGTGTAGGGCCGAATGTGATGGAGGAACCGCTACTTGAGCCCTTAACATCCTGGTGATGAGTGGCAGATGGAGGGTTTATATATGGTCAGTTGCCTCCTTTGTTCCTTCCTTACTTTTGAGTTCCACAACAATTAGGAACATACCCTTTTCTCAGGATTTGCCACACTGGTTTCAGCAGCATAGCAGCTCTATTTTTTTTCCATCAGTTAAAACCATCAGATCTCATGATTTTTCATAAAAAACATTGCAAAAACCATTGCAACTTTCCCATCAAACATGACACCTCGGGTGCTTGGATCATCAGATGATCTCTGGTGCTTTGACATATTTGTTACCCTCTGGTAATTTAACATAGCTATGGAAAATCACAATTTTTAATGGGAAAATCCACTATAAATGGCCATTTTCAATAGCTATGTTAAATTACCAGAGGGTATTTCCCTCCTTGGGAGGATGATCCCCCCGAAAAAAACCCTGTCGAGGCAGCCCCTTGCCAGTACTACAGCGCTGCAGACTACCAGCAATCTCAGTATGCCAGGCCGGTAACGGGGTAACGTTCGTGCCGTGGAATCAAAACTTGGCCAAACGTGGGCCTTTTCCCAAGTTTTTTTTTGGGTCAAAGAGGGTCACATCATCTCATTTGGCTCAAGTCATTGTTGAAGTCCAGTTTTGCATAGTTTTGCTGTTTTTTGTTTTGTTTCCTGGATGTTTTTCTCAGCCAATCTCCATCGTTGTTGACTGATGTTGTCCCAGGGCGCCGATGAAGTAGTCGGTAGCTCTCGAATTCGTCCGACGGTCGACTCTGCTGCCGCGCCCGGGTGAAAAGATGGCGTGCTTTTTTAGGCTGAAACCCACCATTGTGCGCCAAGTGTGGTTGTGGTTCATTATCCTAAGATAGATCATTTTCATCATCAGCAATAATGAATGATCATAAAGCAGAGGATCCAAAGTTCATTACCACAAAGTGTGTAAGCATAAAGCAGAAATCCACTGGTCGGGGTGTTTGAACAAAAGAATTCTCTTGGGGTGATTGCAACAGAAAGGAGAATTTTTTCAATGCCTTGGTGGTTTCCCCTGGTCAAATGCTCTCTGTTTCCCCTGACTGTGAGGTTTGTCATAGTGGGAAATGCTAGGGCCAGGCGTGGACATGGATCTTTTTGGATTCCACCATTTGGAGCCCTGGAAGATGATCCTCGGCCGTAAACACGTTGGAGTCGCCCTCCTGCGCCAAGAAATGGCCGCGATTAAAACGAATCGTTTTGGTACGGACGCACTTTCTCTGCAGCTGTTCAGATTCTGAGCATAGCATTTTCACCAGACGTGTCACCTTATGAAGGCAATCCTCGACGCATTTTCAAACGGCAATCATCCAGTTCTTTTTGATTTTCTGAGCAACAGATTTGGAATCCGGGAATCCCGAGGAAGACTTGCACTGATAAATGTCGTTGATGATTTTTGTTTTGATCTTTCGGGTTCAGTGCTTTGATGTGTTGAATTGAGCAGATCCCACATGTGGACCTCAAGCGTTTCCCCGGAAAGGCCCCAAAAAAACCGTCAGCTCCCTTTCAACAGAGGGAATGACACAGAGACCCGGCCAGCGTGGGTCGTGATGGGAGCTTGAGCAGCTTGAGGTCATGCGGGAGATGAGCAGGTCTAGAGATGGGGAAAGCTTGGTGAATGGTGGATCAATTCGTAGCCATGAATGGAAGCATATCATATCATCCATTGGATTGCTGTAAACCCCATTGGCACAGTTTCCCCTACAGGGAATCTCTGGGGGTCACAGCCAGGCGCGATGAAAAAAAGCCGCAAAGAGGTCGGCTATGCGGAGCCAAAGGCGCAGCCAAAGACGCAGCCAAAGGCGGAGCCAAAGGCCAGTTGAGCTCCAGGTGATGCAGGTCACATCAGGTGATCAATGGAGAAATTGTTTCATCGCTTGGTTCATTTGGCGTCTGAAAATAGCGTACCAGACCCACGTGGTGTGTTGGTGTCTTGGGGGTGATTTCGCTCTCGTTGTCCTGGCGCTTCGCAAGGCTCTTAGCGCATCCGCGAGGCTTGGTCGGCCTGGAACTTCACATGGTGCCCCAAGATTGGCAATCTACAACAGCCTCGAACCAGCAGACACCATTTTTCACATTGTCATGTGGTGTGGTGAAAGTTGACTTGAAAGCATGAGATTCTCTTGGACCATGAGAAACCAGGTTTCGCTGAAAGGTTGCTGCTTCGAGCCTCCGTGCAGTGGTTACCTCCCGATGACTGCCGTAAGATGTGGAGAAAAATCCCATGTGCCAACTGTGCCAGTATCCTTTCCATCCTCAGCCTGCATGGTAAGCCTATGTGTTTAGTGTACCCTCTGGTAAACATACCAAAAACCATGGAAAACCACCAACTTTTGTGGGTATATCAACCATAAATGGCCATTTTCAATAGCAAACTGTTAGTTTACCAGAGGGTAAACCTCCATTTTCCTATGGTTTTCCTCAGGTTTTCCCATTAAAACCTCCATTTTCCTAAGGTAGCAGTACCCCTCAAGAACCCGTTCCACCGGGCCGCCAGACGCGCCCATGAGCAGCAGAACGTCTTGCGTCTCACCACAGAGGGTCCCAGCAACGTCGACAGCAAGGCGTGCCGCCAACAGCAGCCACCTCTCCAGAAAGTTGTGATCGAAACCAAGTTGGAAAGCTGAAAGTTCTGGAGGAAACATGATCTACCATATAGCTTCCCTTAGTATTTATATATATATATGTATAGGTGCATATACATATACATATATACATAGACATATATATATATATACATATATATACATATATATATACAGACAAATACCTATACCTATATCTATATCTATATTAGTAGTTATTTGTAGGGCCACATCCTGGTTTCACATTTTCAAAGGAGGGCTAATTATTTTAGGTTTTTTTTTTTGATCAGGTTTAGGAATTATTTTTGGATTCCTGCTTCTCTGCTTTTCCTGCTTTTCCTGCTTCTTCTGCTTTATGCTTTTTCATGCTTTCCTGCTGCTCCTGCTTTTGCTGCTTTTCCTGCTTTTCCTGCTTCTCTGCTTTTCTGCTTTTTTGCTTTTCTGCTTCTCCTGCTTCTCGCCTTTTCTGCTTTTTTGCTTTTCTGCTTCTCCTGCTTCTCTGCTTTTCTGCTTTTTTGCTTTTCTGTTTTTCCTGTTTCTTTGCTTCTCTGCTTTTCTTGCTTTTCCTGCTTCTCTGCTTTTCTGCTTTTCCTGCTTCTTTGCCTTTCTGCTGTTTTGCTTTTGTGCGTTTCCTGTTTCTTTGCTTCTCTGCTTTTTTTTTTGCTTTGCCTGCTTTAAATACTTGATTTTCATGTAAGATGCATTTTGCACAGTATTTACATCCCTGAGTATCACATGACCAACATTCTCTTGAAAACTAGCAACGTAACATGTGAGAAGAGGTGCTTGCATTCTGCTTTGGGGGGAGGCGCTGCGCCCTCCCCCCAATCCCCCCCTCCCGTTTTTTTTTATTTAAACTTAAACCCAAGTTACATTAGTTGGTTTTTGCGAACTAACCTTCTCTGGAAAGCTGACAGGTTTACATGTGATAGATAGATAGATAGATAGATAGATAGACAGATAGATAGATAGATAGATAGACAGATAGATAAATAGATAGATAGATAGATAGATAGCTGATAGATAGCTTGGTAGATAGATAGCTAGATAGATAGATAGCCAGCTAGATAGATAGATAGATAGCTAGAGAGATAGATAGCTAGATACCTCGATAGATAGATGGCTAGATAGATAGCTAGAGAGATAGATGGCTAGATAGATAGCTAGATAGATAGCTAGCTAGATAGATAAAGAGGTAGCTAGATAGATAGCTAGATAGATAGATAGATAGATAGCTAAATAGATAGGTAGATAGTTAGCTAGATAGATAGATAGCTAGATAGATAGCTCGATAGCTAGAAAGCTGGATAGACAGCTAGATATCTAGATAGCTAGATAGATAGTTAGCTAGATAGCTCGATAGCTAGATAGCTGGATAGACAGCTGGATGGCTAGATAGATAGATAGCTAGATAGCTGGATAGACAGCTGGATGGCTAGATAGATAGATAGCTAGATAGATAGAAAGCTAGATAGCTAGATAGCTAGCTAGATAGTTAGCTAGAAAGCTAGATAGGTAGATAGATAGCTAGCAAGATAGCTAGCTAGGTAGGTAGATAGATAGCTAGATGGATAGATAGCTTGCTAGATAGATAGCTAGCTTGCTAGATAGATGGCTAGCTAGATAGCTAGATAGCTAGCTAGCTGGATAGATAGCTAGCGCCCTCCCTCAATCCCCCCCACCCGCTTTTTATCTAATCCCAAGCTTCCGCATCTGTAAATATTTGGGTGAACATGCTCACATGTAGAACATCCCATGCAAAATGGAAGGTGAACATGCCAAAATTTGGCAAATACCATACAAAATGGAAGGTGAACATGCCCACATGTAGGAAATCCCATGCAAAATGGAAGGTGAACATGCCAAAATGTGGCAAATACCATACAAAATGGAAGGTGAACATGCCCACACGTAGTAAATCCCATGCAAAATGGAAGGTGAACATGCCCAAATGTGGCAAATACCATGCAAAATGACAAATTCAAGTTCCAAACCGTTGCAAACACTAGGCAAATGGTACCAGCCAAGAAATCCAAAACAAATTCCCAAACCTGCTCAAAAAAAAATCCTAAAACTATTTCACACCCATTTTCAAACGACAGGACTTCTGTGGTGCCTTTGCAGCCCTGGGCTTGGACAACTCCTGGGACCGTTCACTGGAGAAATGCTGGAGGGGTTAACACTATAGGTATATAATTGGTATATAAATATACATATATATATACACATGTATATACATAGTATATGTATATGTATAAATATGTATATGTATATGTATATGTATATGCATAGGTATACGTATACGTATATCTATGTATAATGGGATAGTTTATGGGATAACCAAGAATATCGAATGGTCCAAATCCTCTGGTTTGTTGGGGCAGACTTGGCAGCTGTTTTGTTTTCTTTAGTTGGCGGAGCCAAACTGGGTGCCGTTCGCATTTCCCATCGTTTCCAGTTGACCCCTGGTGTTTGGTGGGCGCTGCACTCTGCAGGACTTGAAAGCCTTTAAGAAAGGCTTCAAAATTGACATCAAAGAACTCAGTGATGAGCAAGTGGTGTCAGGAGCCCCAGGAGCCCCAGGAGCCCCAGGAGCTGTGGCGTCTGTGGCGTTCTCCGGGGGACCTGGAAGTCCTGGCTTGGCGATCTGGATCCGAGGTTTGACATGCTTGGCATTGACCCTCCCTTGGTGAATGCGTTCAGGCGGGTCGTCCATGGTGCCGTGGGGCGATACATGGATCATGTCCTCATGATAAACTGGCCATATGTTATGGGTAAACACCAATTTTTTGGCCAACCCCCCGATTTTTTCTCCAAATCCCAAGATTCTATGGTACGACAGATCCCAATCAGCAGTCAATCCATGGGTCTGACAGGGAGCATATAAGATATAGTAGTTCCAATCCATGGGTGCGAAGTTCACGTGCCAGCTCAAATTCAGATTCATAGGTAGTGATTCTGGGCAGGCGCATCCTCATTGCAGAGGTGCCCACGGTCAGGGTGCCCCGATTTCTGGAGATCGATATTTTTCAATCACTTCGAAGCAGGTAGGATACCAGCTTTACCTCTGCACTTCCCAACATCCATTAAATCCATGGGATTTACCCTCTGGTAATTTAACGTAGCTATTGAAAATGACCATTTAGTTCGTGGATTTTCCCATTTAAAATGGTGATTTTCCATAGTTATGTTAGTTTACCAGAGGGTATATCCATTAAATCCATGGGATTTACCCTCTGGTAATTTAACGTAGCTATTGAAAATGACCATTTAGTTCGTGGGTTTTCCCATTAAAAATGGTGATTTTCCATAGTTATGTTAGTTTACCAGAGGGTATATCCATTAAATCCATGGGATTTACCCTCTGGTAATTTAACGTAGCTATTGAAA